AAAAATTTAAACGCGATAGCTTTCATTTCCAATTTCCAACTGGTGAAAAATTAATGTCACTAGATTTAAGTATTTAAAGAATTTTAACGTAAACATCCAAATGATGTAAATGTTCCGGTTACTTCATCAGAAATATCCAGTATTAAAAATCCCGCTATTTTAATAATTCTGGTCACTAAAGCAAAATCAGCTCTGAATATAATTCAGAAGAATTGCGTTCCAGTTAAATCATATTTGAATTCGGAAATTGCGCTAAAGGTATTTTTAATGTTGCCAATTATTATTATTAGTGTGAAAGAAGCTTCAGAAATCCTAAATTGTAAAAAACAGTTATGCAAGTTTAAAAACAGAATCTTCTCATGCCTGAACAGAAACTTTTAAATACAACTATTTTATCAGATAAAAAGTAATCGTTTTCATTTAAAAATAATAAATTATTACGTGTATTCATTTTCAGAGTATATAAATTTATGATTACAAATATCATAAGGAGCTTCGTGTAATTTAGTACTTTTGTTGAATAAAAAAGAATACAGATACGGTTCATTTGCACTTTGCCTCAAGTGAAAAATAACCCGCAGCATAAACTTGGATAAAAAATGTAAACGTCCTGTCTCCGAATCAGCTTCAGAACAACACAGTTTTTAAATAATTTATACGTATCAGAAGAAGAAAGAAGTTTCTGGGAAAAACTTTTATGTTGGCAGTTAAGATAGTTTAATAACATCTTTGGGAGACTGCAGACTTTCTGAACAAAAACTGAAGTGGACTTTTCGACAGCAGTAAGCACCGCTTAATGTGATAACGTGTGTTTTGATAACATTAACCGAATGATAGTATTAAATGATGAGAACAAATGTCTTTCAAAAGAACAATGGGATGTAATTAATTTAATATAAAAATATGAAGAAATATATAAATTCATTTTTCAGAGGTATTTTCAGAGTATATTACTTTGGAAAATGGAAAAGTTTATGAACTGTTCAACTGTTCATGATGTCTTTAAATGCGAAAGTTCATTTATGAACTGTTCGTAAGGTTTTGGAAATAACTGACCTGTACCCACAATCTTAATATTCAGAAGGCATCCATCATTGAAAGAAAATATGCCAATGTAAAATTTTAAATTCAGCAAAAAAAAAAAAAAAAAAAAAAAAAAAAAAAAAAAAAAAAAAAAAAAAAAAAAAAAAAAAAAAAAGGCAGCCTTAGTTTGTTGTAGATATCTTGAGGGAAATTTTGGTACTATTCCTTTTTGAGGACCGTAAAAAATCGCCAAACTATTATTGATGCAGCCAAAAATAATTGCGGCAACCCTAACGCAAGAAAGGAAGTGTTATACGAAATAACTATCTAAAGTTCTTGTTTTTATTATATGAAGGTTAATTTCATACAATTTTTTTATTATTATAATTTATATAAAAAGGTTAAACATAACTGAATGGAAGCATAAGAGTAAATAAATATTCAGATTATTATTTTTATATAGAAAAGGCTAACCATAACTGAATGGACTCCGCATCGCTCTTTCGCTACGTATCGCTAAAGCATAATTTCATCTCGTTGTTTTCAAACATAATTTTATAATGAATGATGCCTTTTTCTTTGAAAAAATTCTTTGCGACGTTTCGCCATGGGCAATTCCCAAATGTTAAAATCTATAGGTATCAAAAAGGATTTTTAAAAATTAACTAGTATTAATGGCGTTAAGAAATATAGAACTATCTAAATTACGCAATTTGGAATCGCGGACGCTAGATTTGGCGCGCTGTTAATGGACGCTTTTGCTAGATTTGGCACTTTTGCGCATATATTTTCGCTGCAATTTTTTACGGTCCTCAAAACGGAATAGTACCGAATTTTTTTTTCTAGGGGAAAAAGAAGAAATTCTGCAGGTGTTTTCCCCCTCCTGAAGAAGAAAGTCTTGTATTTGGATAGTCTTCAAAATCCATAGAGTTATTCAACATATAAGTAGGACTGAGGCTGCTTTTTGCCTAATTTTAAATGGTTGACTGAAATCAACTGTGTAATTCGGCAATTTTTATAATCTATTTCGACTTATTTGGCGAATCTATCTATTACTTAGCGACTTTTTAAAAAATGCATTCTAGTATAATATTTAAATCGTATTAATCAAGTTTGATCACGATAAGAGATGTATTTTCCATACTTTCATTTACAAATGGGCGGAGCTTCCAGCAAATCGATAACAATTTCCGAGTGATAATATTAACAGCTATCATATTAAACGGTTTTTACTACGTATATATGCGCAATAGAAATGCAGTTATCACAAGTGAAGAGGCCTGGATTTCGGCATCAACGGAAATAAAAGTATAGGGGGAGAAGATAAAAACAATAATGCGTGTAATGGCACGCTGTGAATGAGAACCATAACTCAGGCCTTCGGAGCCGTACTCTGACGTTGTGCATATCTGGGAAGAGCACGTACTGACGCAGGTAAGAGAAGGGAAAGTGTAAAGATCGCTCACACTTTGGGATTAGGACCTCGAGCCCCCTGATGCTAAGCACTGCTCGACTACAGACCGGAATGTTCACATTGTGACTCAGTACCGTAAATGATATAGCTTCGTTGCATTACAGCGACACCGCTTTAATACCACAAAACGAGGCTTATAGTACAAGGGTTAAAATTTTCAATTTTATGCCCCTTTTGCCCAGGCATTGGACTGAACTTCTGCCGAACCGATGAATCAGTGCGAAGTAGATCAAGCCATTTTCTAATATTCTCATTGGCAGTTTTTTGAAGCTTAGTGGATAGCATAGTTTGTAGTAGAGAAGCGCTCACAAGCGGCCGAGCGGTAAAATCGCTGAACACTGGTATTTCGATCCGAGGTTCGAATCCGGTGAACGGGTTGGCTGCACGGGCGTTTTCGTGGTTAACCCCATGTGTAACGCGTAAGCCAGTTTCCCTTAGAAAATGCTCCACGAAGACATCCCTTCCCATAGGCAGATAGTCCTCGATGCTTTGCTATAATTACATAAACCAAACGAGTAGTAGTGAAGCTTCAGAAGTATTCATTTGTAGAAAGTAAGATGCTGCCTTAGCGCATCTTGTTCTCTCCAAAAGAAAATGAAATAACGAATTCCCACACAAAGCATTCGATAGGTATCAAGCATCCTTAAGGCTCTCTTCCATTAATAGTTAAATTCGTAAAATATATTTAGCAGCAGATTTCGTTTATGTGAGCATTGATATTGGTGCTCAGAACTTGATGTCTATGGTAATAGTAATTACAACCTTTTAATATAAACGTATTGTGTGAGCTGCTGTGCAGTTAGTTAGAAGCTCAAGCTCTAGGTATGAGAAGTAGTAGTCAGAATACTTATTGGCAGATCATGGAGTTTTCATTCAAATTCTAGTCAGAAGAAAATCCTAATGATTAGCCTTAATAACATTAAGGAGAAATGATGCACTAAAATAAAAAAAAAAATTAATATCCATTGTTGATATTTCTTTCAAACTTTATTATTTTCCTATAGCCTCTGCAACTGGTTTTGATGAACTTTAGCTGTCAACATGTAAAATTTTTGTTTCCAAAACTGTCTTTTCTTGAACATTCCTTCAAAAAGGTTTCCCCCCCCCCGAAAAAAATAAAGACCTGTGAGTAGAATGTTTCCCTGTACTTTGAGAATGCTGTATTAAGCAATGTATTTAATGTGCCTTTGAGAATTTTGCTGTAATTTTTTGTTGTTTTTAAAACTGAAACGCTGTATGAATTTTTAATGAAACAATACCTAAAATTAATGAAATTTCATAAATACTGAATATGTTCATTCAACTATATACCGCTCATATTTAATAGATGGCTTATTTTCGATAGCCATCCTTTAACGTTTAGAATTGAAGTCGTTCCAAATATGTACATTAAATTCGAACAAAATCTAAAAATTTCTTAAAACCTTGGTTTGTGTTTTCAAACACAATTTTTTGAGTCGGTGGGGGGGGAAAAAAAAAAAAAAAAAAAAAAAAAAAATTAGCCCAAAGTAACGTTAGCTAAGAAGGGCTATTAATTTCGTTTTGGTATTTTGCGTTGATTCATTATAAACGGCTTTTGAAATCGTTGCCACCAAAATTATTACCCTTTATTATATTTAAAGAAATTAAATAATGAAGAATCTGCATATGTATAAAGGTTTCTCTCACTGTGGTAAAACAATTGTACCTAGAGCCATCAAATTTTGAGTAACATACGTCTCCACCCGAATATCGGCATCTGGAAGTCCAAATTTGGAATTTGTTTTATTATCTATTTCATATTTTGTAAAGCATTTATGAATTTTTGATAAAGAAACTCAACGATTTCAAAGTGAGCAAAGGCAATATTGTACACGGGGGGGATTACCTCCAGTGGGCGAGACTGTGTATCAGAATATTTTGCGATATTGTTGTTGGATTGAATTTTGTGGTTTAAGTGCGAAGAGCATGATATTTAATAAATAAAGGTAGGACACAAAGCGTTAAAAATACACCTCTTTGGGCGTAATATAAAATCTGAAAGCTTTCAGATTTTTTTTTAAATTTTATTTTTGAGTTTCTTTATTTCATTGGTATTTTATTAATTCAACTCACTGGGTAACCTGGAGAACTCTTTTTTTTTTTTTTTTTTTTTTTATGTAAGTAAAGGCTCACTGTACGTCTGTAAAATGCTGATTCGCTGTACATTTAAGAGACCCAAGACAGTAGTTTGTCAAACTCAAAGAATATTGAGATCGAATTCTTGCGAGCAAGTTTTACGCTTCATGTCGTGGTTGTAAAAGAACTATTTTATTGTGAATGAATTTAATCCACATTTCTATGCTGTGATGTCTCCTTTCTATTAAAGAATATGTGTATTTTTATGTACTTCTTATTCTAATTGCCACATTTGCTTCATATATTTTCTTGAAAGTTTTTGCACAGAAGTTGCACGAAAGCTTCCTTTTCTAAAGATTTTGAATGTTTTTGATTGTGGGTAATTAAGTTGGCTTTTCTTTTGTAGCTGGCCGTTGCTCAGCAGTGGATTCCTTCCCAAGTCCTGAGTCCCAGCCCCAGTATAAGCGGCTCTGATCTGGACACAGAATCCGATGCCCCACTCAATCTTTCTAAACCCAAGCATGCGAAAGGTTCATCGAGACGGACATCCAGGTAAGCATTCAATCTTAGCAATTTTAACAACCAGTGGAATAGTTTCTGATGTTGCGCGAAACATTTACCCTCTAATTAAATAGAAATCAGTGTGAATTGAGTCATGCGCTGATATTAATAAAATGTGGATTTCGTATGACCCGAATCTGGTTTTCGCTGAGTTTTAAATAATCCATGCGAAGTGGTTGCCGATTTGGAGGACAGTTTTTTTTTTTTTTTTATTTTTGTTGTTGTTGTTGTTGCTCTTACAATGCTTTTATTGGAAGGCATTTTTGCTTTCTTATATGAAGCAAAGGGAAGTATCGTAATAGCGAAAAAATTTCGGGTGTCATATTTCAACAGAAACACAATTAATTCGTCAGTATTCACATAACAGTTCCAAAGACGCGTTACAGTCTCTGAAAAACTACGGCAAACACGCTGAAACAATCAGCAACATGGCCTTCAGGCTATAACGATGAAGACAGCTTAATGGCAGATCACTTTATACAGAGGTACTACTCAGTACAGGGGGTACTGCATTCGCTGTAAACCTGAAGGAAATCCACAATGGGCATGGTGTTGAAAGGTTCTTGGATGAATCCCATGGAGGGAGCAGGGAGAGGGAGGAAAATGAAGAAAAATATCTCAAGTAAGTCCCTTGAAAACTGAACGAGGGAGTAGAAAAAGTCCAGAAGCCGGCCGAGGTAATCTTCTCGTTTTTGCGTACCGCCATCTATGGGTGATTCCGTAAGTAGGCGCAGAATTGGAATTTAGGGTAAGTTGCTGGTTTCTGTGGCGCCATCTATAGGTCTGTTGCGAAGCTGGCCAAGAAAGGAGATTTAGGCAAGGCAAGCTGTAAGTTCGGATTTTCTGCAGTATGGGCTTCATTTTATCCAAACACGAGGAAAGGTAAATTAGGAGTGTAAATTCAACATATTGATGGTGTGAGCAGTGAAAGGCCTATTGCAATAGTCATCCTCTATAATAATTTCGTAATTTAAAATATTTGAAAAGTCCGCTATGCTATTTTTAGTCTCTTACTTCGCGGACAGGCAGGGTATATATAGCTTTTGATCTGACTTCGAAGAACATTTTCGGAAAACAGGTAGAATGTTCTCGCTCCATCTATGGCATGTTGCCAAATCTGGCAACCGTGACTTTCCTTGCAACTGTTTGGCAACCCTAAACCCGCTTTATGGGAGGGCTATCTTATCTCAGCTGAACATTTCGCTACAATATATTATATAACATATACATACATATGTACACCAGCCATATTTTCGCAAACGTTGGTCGTAATCATATACTTCCATTTACAGAAGTGTTTTAAATGACAAAAATATTCATGTCTTAGCAATGTAAAATTAAAAAAAATTAAGCAGGGTATATATAGCTTTTGATAGACTTCGAAGAACATTTCGGAACACAGGTAGATGGTCTCGCTCCATCTATGGAATGTTGGCAAAATCTGGCAACCGTGACTTTCTTGCAACTGTTGGCACCCTTAAACACGCTTTATGGGAGGGCTATTTATATCAGCTGAACATTCGCTACAATATATTATTTCTAACACTACATACATATGTACACCAGCATATTTTCGCAAAAAAACGTTGGTCGTAATCCATCTTCTTCCATTACAGAAGGGTTTGTTTTAAATGACAAAAATATCTGTCTAGAATGATAAAATTAAAAAAAATGGTATTACTTTTCCGTTTGGCCGGCCGCAAATTGCGCAAGCAGCTTTATTGGGCGACAAAATACATAGACAAATTAAAAAATATTTTTAAAAAAAAAAAAAATGTTATTAGTTTTCTAAAGAATCTTTTTTGAAGGCATAGAAACATTTTAATATCGCTTAATTTTATAAAACAAAGCCAATAATAAAGACAATAATTTGTTAAAAGACATTAAGAATCTACCGGTCATGTTTTCCAACGATCGCCGGTTCGATCACATACCCTCGTCCATTCACGTAAACTACCTACAAAAGTAATGCTCTCAGTAATTATCTACATTCTTCAAGTTTGATCTTTTTTTTCCAATTTGGAACAGTAACTTAAATGCCGAATAAGAAAGTTCAATTCGTACGTCCCTTATCGAAATTATGTCAGCGTGTGCTTTACTTCGTCGCTTGCATTCTATTGAATTGGTTAACGGACTTGACCTTTTCATATTTTCGGCTCGGGAGAAGCGCTGGATTTCTGATTGACGTAAATTACCGAAAAGTGTTAGACATAACTGAACCTGATCCCCCCGGTAATCATTGCCACTTGTGAACAATATATTGATGCAGCTTACTTGTTTTTTGTCCGCCGTTTTAAAGAAAATTCCGTTCCAGCCTTTTTCTTTTGGCAGGTTTCCCTTTTTTGTACCAATGGCGCATCTTTTAGAGACGGAAAGTACCCCGCCATTTTTTCGACGCTACGAAATCTATCCACTTTTCTTGCCATTTCCTGCTACTATCTTATGAAAAAGTTTCTCTTTATGCAAGTAAAATAAAAGAAATTTGGCAATACGACAAAAAAATGAAGATTATTATTAATAGTTAGAATTTGGATTTTGATGAATTGCAACTTGCCTTGAGATTTCTCCTTCTCTCCGGACGGTTTAAATTGAATAATTTGAGGAATAATTCAATAAGTGCAGCTACGGTATAATTTAATAGCCGCATAGAAAGGCAGAGTTCCTTCATTTAATATAGTACGTAATTACCTTTTGTATCATAGGAAAAAGAAATGCAGTAACATTTCAGTAATAAATTTTGTTTTCACTTGATATTGCTGTTTAGCAATGTTAAAATTCATGCATTTTTTTATTAATAATAAATCTACTTAGGGAGCCTAATATTTGTAATTTTATCTTTTGCATGCTGGTTGTGTATTATATTGTGATTATTGGTCTCTAGAGTGCCTTGTAGATTGATTTTGAATATGTTACGAATGAAAGCTAATGCGTCCTCCCAAACAGTCGCGGTTAAATTTTTTGTTTTGTAAAAACATCGGAATACACCATTGAATTAGACATCGTTTTTAAGTTACCAAAGCAATTATAACCGAGTTGTTTAATTCCTTTAGTAACTTTTTTTTCTAGGAGTTTCAACTGTTATATTAAAAAAAAAAATCAAAAATTGGAAATATTTTTTAAATGTGGACAAAATTCAATAGATTTTTCGGTCGAATATGAATTGTTTTTTGTCTTTATCAAATAAAGCAGGCTAATCCTTATTCGCGAACCTATCAGTTTAATTTTTAATTATTAATTATGTTTTATAAATTCTTTTTTTTCTAATCGAATGTAGATTTCCTCTTAACGGTAGTGAGCATGGTTTATTCTGTTGTTCACATTTAAATGTTTATTTATTCGAATTGATGTTTTCACAGTTTTCTGCTTTTACTAAAGTTTTGTTTTCGATTTTTTTTCCTTCTAATTTAAGCCTGAGCATAAAGGGTTATTTTCAAAGCCTCAGCCCTTTTTATGCATACATTTCCAAACAAATTCACTTTGGGGCCTCATGCAGCAACTTTTCAGCCAGATTTTATCGTTATGCCACTTTCTTACCCAATTTAGCTATCTGTCCAAGCAATGAAGGGAGGGACACGAGGAAACGCGTACTACTGGATAATTTACTGTGCTCACCTGGTTTCGTAATTATGGTATGCACTTGATTGGTTGATTGATGTAAAACATTCTGGCCCGTAACTTGGAAAATCTAATTAATGAACTTTTGTAAGCTCTGACGTCATCGGCCTCTCTTTTAATTAGCCAATGTAGACTGTCAAAAATACGCAATTAAAATAAGAAATAATCATTCACAATATAAAGACGCTTACTGAAATTGACGCTGTAATGAGAAAAGTTAGATTAGGTTATTTGAATATAGCAAAGTGCACGAGGGCTTTCTGCCTGACGAGAGAGATGTCTGCGTAAAGAGCTTTCGAAGGGCACGGGCCTCGAAAAACGAGGTCACGAAAGGGCCGCGAAAATCAACCATCCCACCAGCCCCTTTCGCCTGTAGTCAAAGCCGAAAGCGGTTTCTAACCCTTTTTTCCCTTCGTTTTAAAGTGTTTTAAAATTATTATGCTCTTTTCATAATTGTTTAATAAAATTTTTTCACTTCAGATTTGTCCTCTTTAGGAAAAATATTTTTTAAATTGCTATTTTGATTATGCCAGTACTATTCTTTGATAAATATTTCTTAGCATCAAAATAGTATTTAATTCATAGCGCAGAAAATGAATTTGTTGTATTTACATATTTTCGAAAACAGCGTTTTTATTAAAAAGAGAACCCTTTTGAAAATTTTGGAGAGATTTTTTTCTCGCAAATTAACGTACCATGTGTATATATATATACGGATTATATGTTCTAGGTTTAGCCATTATTTTTCTTGATTTGTTAACAAATTAAAAAAAGTAATATGTTTTAATTATTTTAATTAGCGATTCACTGTTATTACTGATCCTTATTATGGTGCTGCCATCTGTTGCATATATAGGGAACTATCAGAAGAGTTCTATAATGTGCAGCAGATCCAAATTCTTCTCTTTCGCCCCCCCCGAAAAAACTGGAACTTTATTGTAATTGTTATTTTTGAAAGAATCTCGTTATTTTTTCGCGTGTAAATGGAGTATGGCCTTTGTAAAAGAGTGGCTTTAATTGCTTATTTTATAGAAGTCCTGGAAATGAGCTGAAAGTGTGTGAAAGAGGAAGCCCTATGTCTCCGAGTAGCCTGCAACAGCACAGAAGTCAAAATATGGCAGAAATGGCAGCCATGGCTCATCATATGCTTCGAGGACCTCCATCCATACCGGTAAGTGGTTTTGAGTTGCAATGTTGCTTGAAATTCTAATGACACCGCCGATGATAGATTAAAGATTCATCGCTGCTGTATAACTGCTTATTTGAATAGTACTTATATTACTTGAAAGAATTTAATCATAGAACATCTCGTTATGTAGGAGTTCCTAAATCATAAAATTCTTGTTGGTTCCTTCGTGAAAATCTTGCACGAAGAAATGTTTGGATCAATTTATTGGATTACAGTGTTTGGCGCGTTTCATGATATAAGGTTGGGAATTTTTGCACACATCCTAGATTTACACAATTAATGGAAAAATTCCTTAAATTCTAAAAAAAAAAAAAAAAAAACCTTACTTGGCATTAGTTAATTAATTATCAGTAAAATATGGTAGTATGCTCCATGTATTTTGTTTGTTTTTATGTACTTGTTATGGGTTAAAATAGTGCATTTTTCACATGGTTACTTCTGAACTCCACATTTAAAAATTCAGTTAAATATATTGATGTTCATATTACTGAAATATTATATTTTGAGTTGCTATTATTTAAAGAAAATGCCTTTATCTTTTATCATGTTTTACAGATACCCCCATCAGCTTACCTTCCAGGAGCTTATACAGCAATGCCACTGCACTTGAGACAGTCTGCTGTCATTTCCCAACAAGGTATTTTAATGTGCATTTAAGTGCATGTGATGTAAAGGCATTTATTTCTGACCATTCTGCATTAGCGAAGCAGATCTATATGACATATATGTATGCAGTTCCTTAGGTGTCATTTAACAGTATTCTATAATTTATAAAAATTTGTCACAAAATTACAGATGCTCGATATGATTTAAGACAGTGACACTCGATATGACAGTTAGTTTAATAAGAGATTTTTAATATAATTTTTTATTGTTAAAATAAAATTTTACTGAATTTCTACTGAAATTGTTATTCAATTACGTAAAAGAAGTGCCGCAGCCTTCTTATTCAGGGCTCCGGCTAGAATTATGATTCATTACAAAAACTAAGAAGCACCGGTGCCAAGATCTGGCCCAATTTAAGCTCTGATCGTAAGGGGGGAATTCTTTTATCATCACAGAAATTAAATATACTTATAGCTGATGAAAATTCCAGGGCGAAACAGAACGGGGGTGTGAGTGGGTGGAAAAAAATGAGGGGTATCTTGGTGAGAAAAAACGTTCTCTTTGACCTCGGCTCTCTGCTGGTATAATTATAGCCATCAAGCAGATGTGTGTCAAGGGTAAAATGAGTCCTGAATCTGACTCCTTAATAATAAAATGTAAAGAGATAAACTGAAATTTAATACGCGATTTTTAATATAATTTTATTGTTAAAATAATATTTTTGAGATAAAATTTCTACTGAAATTGTTATTTAACTACATAAAAGAAGTGCCACAGCCTTCTTATTCAGGGCTCCGGTGTGTTCCGACTAGAATTATAATTTATTACAAAAACTAAGAACCTCCGGAACCGAAATCCGGTCGGTTCCGGCCCAATTTAAGTTCTGATCGTAGGGGGGGGGGAGTTCTTTTATCATTACAAAAATTAAATATACTTAAAGAATAGCTGATGAAAATTCCAGGGCGAAACACACCTCCATGGGTGAAGCAGAATGAGGGTATGAGTGGGTGGAAACGAAAAGTGAGGGGAATCTTTGTGAGAGAGAACGTTCTCTTTGACCGCGGCTCTCTGTTGGTATAATTATAGCCATCGAGCAGAACGCACATTTAAGAACACAATTTTCCTTCCTGCGAAGATAACTAACTGTAACCATCGATAACAATACGTTAAATACGATGACATGGTGAGAAATTTACGCGTTCCTAAACAAACGCTCCCAAATTTATTGCCTTTCTTAAAGGGTAAGGTTTCCGCATGTGAGTAAGGGGACTTTACTTGAACGTCTCGTGTTGTTCTCATGAGTGTGTATTTCTAGGGAAATAGAGTACTGCAAGATCTGCTTATTGTTAAACTAAAACGTTAGGAATTCCTAATTTTTTTTCCTCTTTAAATTGTGGTTCAGTTTTATAAAAAGAAGTACTGGAGTTCATGTTATTTAGGGCTCCGGTGCGTTCCGCCTAGAATTGAAATTTATTTTCTTAAAAATTGTGAAGTACCAGAGCCGCGCTCCAGCGCAATTTAAGCACTGTATAAAACTAATTTGTTTTTCTAACATGGATCAGAAGCTCAGCTATAATAAATTTTGCTAAATAAATAAAAAAGACAATCAATAAATAATAAAAAGTAAATCAATAAATAATAAAAAAAAAAGGGTGCAATTCTGTTTTCAAGACCTGTTTAGAAAACAGTTCAGATATAAAAAGAAAAGATTTCAAAGAGTGTTAATAAAATGTAATCATATTAATTACAAAATTAAACTATTATTTGAAATTGATATTAAGTTGAGCTTTTCTGATGTCTGATATTCAGAATAATAATTGCCTTCAGTAATAAAGTACTTTATATCAAAGATAGCAGTTCTTTTTGTATGTTGAAATAATTTGTTCAGTTTAGAATGTTACTAAGAACCTATAAATTTGATTTTTAGTGTGCACAAATTCTTAATTTTGTGGATTTTGCCAAAAATTGTAGTTCCTTTATCTGAAAGCTCTCTTCCCTCCCTCTGAAAATGGAAATGTGTATTTTTACATTTAAAAAAAAAAATAAATAAATAAAAAAATCACAAAGAATCGGAGTAATGATTTTTGCATTTAGTGTATTGTTTCTAGTACCAGAAGATGGTTTCATACTTGTAATGTGATTTGTTACAAAATGTATTATATATATAAAGCTAACTTTTTTTATACTTCTAAAATTCCTTTTGCATTTAGAGAATCAGCCAACAATTTTAAAGTAGCATAGTTTTAAAAATACATGAAACACATGTTTTCAGTATGTGCTTTAAAGTTCCTTGCACTACTACCTGAGGCTTTTGACTATAAAACTATTTTCTGAGATTGAATATAAATATAGCTGCACATGCATATAAATATAATGTGCATCTGAATGGCATGATTAAACATAGCTAGAGTTGAAAAATATTTTATCAAATAAAGTTGTAAAAAAGGATTTCTGTAAATCTTAACTTAGTAGCTATGCTTTAAGAAATGATTTAGAACTATTTATGGGTTATTTTATGACCATACCCTTATATATATGTCTATGAAATATCTGCTATTAAGTAAAATTTGATAATAAAAAAACTTTCATTTATATTTCTTTCAGATAAAATGAAAGAACTGTCGCAACCTATTCCAAGCAGCCACATTCCTCAACATGGTGGAGCTTTCCAGAACTTCAACCTACACATGTACCTGTCTCAGTGCATGAATCCCCATGACCCCTGTGATATTGCTCCTCCAACTTTGGACTCAACTGAGAAGAAACATGATACACATTTGGCATCCTCTCCAAGTATGATATTAAATAAAGTCGTAAATATTGGAATTATATTAAGATTTGAATTTTTATTGCTATCTAATGTAATATAATGCAATAAGAAACTGCATTAGAGTTTTGTATATTATCTGTCCTCATAATAATTTTAGCACTGCTACTTGTTTTATATGTTTGGAAATTTTTTGCCATGGAATTTAACTCACTCTGTAATTTTTCCCTGGCCTTTGTTATCTGTACAATATTTTAGCTGAGAAATTTCTTCCAGTTATTAAGTTTTCCATCTCTGAATAATGTCCGCCCCCCCCCAAATCTGTAGAATCGTGATTGCACCAAGCTATGGAAACACAATATGTTAATTCAAAACTGAATTTTGGAGCCAGGTTAACAAAATGATGCAGTATTACCAGTTTTGTGCCAATGAAAGGCTCTTATTATATAAATGATTCTTGGAACAAAAACAAAAAATAATAAGGGTATATGGTTTATAGAGGAGATGAGGCTATTAGGAATTTGGGAAGTTTCCCGAGGCACTGACGCTTGTGGCGCTGCTTTGTTAACCACTATTGATGTTTTTAAAGAGATGAAACATTCATCATAACTATAGAATTATGCGGCAAAATATGATAAACTCATAGGAAGAGAACAGTTTAATGATACTCGTAAAGAATCAAAAGGTAAACTGATGGTAATCATGTTAAACTCAACATCTTTATCCTGTCATTAAATCATCGCAAATTCATAATTGTTGGATTTAATTCGCTATTCCATTGCATAGAAGAAGGATATTCATTATACGCCACCCTCATGATTTCATAAAATGTTATAAATGCCAATTCGGCGGGGCATACCGGCAGCCTTGAAAAAAATCTGCTTTCTTCACGATACTGAGCTCCATAATGGTGCCATGACTTTCATGCTTTTATAGTGGGGCATCTTTGTGTCTTGATGAATAACGGCCCACTTAAAAAAAAAAAAAAAAAAAAGTTAGCACCTTTAAGTTTGCTGCGCTGCTTAGACCAGTCCCAATCCACTCCTAATGGTATCCAGAAGATTAAATTGGAATACTGGTAGCACTGTACTTGTTGAAAATTGAAGTACAACTTCTAAAAGCATTGCTATTTTCAACAGTGAAGTCCAAACATTAAAGATGCTAAAGAATTTTTTGGGGGGCGGCGGGAGAGATTTATTAATTTGTTTTTATCTGCTGTATTCATATTTTTATTGTATATTGTCTTTAATATTTTGGAAGACATTTGCCCTGCTTAAAATGTGAAAGAGCGGTTTCAAAAATGACAAACTAACCCTATGTCGATTTCTATGAGTTTTGTTTTATATCTTTAATATATATATATATAATATATATATATATACATACCATATACCAGAGAATTTGATGTAAATGTTGATGTTATTAAATTTGAAAGAATCGTCAGTATGACTGCAAGCTGTAGGAAGCATTCTCTATGATTTCAAATCTAGGGAAGTATTAATATGCAAAAAGTATAATAAATAAAATAAAAGGAAAATTAAATAAACTCAATAAAGAAGTATTAAATTTCAACAAAATTCATTTTTAATCATTTTTATATTTATGTAATCATATGATTTTCAATCTGAATGAACTGTCTTTGGATAAATTTAGAAAAGGTGACAACTGAATGAAATATACTTTTTGTTTTTAATGTATCATAGTAAATAGATTAATTGTATTAAACTAATTTTTCATAGTGAATTAAAGATAAATAAAATTATGTGAATGATTATATTGACAGCATAATCAAAATTGAATTTTGAATTAAGAGTTTTTACTTTCCTTAAAACTGTTTTTATTTTATTTAAACTGAGTTTTTGCTTGAAGATTCTTTATAATGTTTTTTTTTTTTTTTTTCTTTACATAAGTTTATTTTAATCTTAAAGGCAAACTAGTGGGAGCAAAAATTATTCGTCAAACGAAAAAGGAAGGTGAGTCGAAACCCCACATCAAGCGACCAATGAATGCATTCATGGTATGGGCAAAAGATGAGAGGAGAAAAATTCTTAAAGCTTGTCCTGATATGCACAATTCCAATATATCTAAAATTTTAGGTCAGTATTGAGGAACAAGATTTAATTTTGCATATGAAAAGTATAATAAAATTTAAATTATTGTTTTCAGTCAACATTTACTTATTAAAAAACGTGTAACATTAATTTTTTGTCAAATATTGTTCTGCTAATTTTGCAAGAGAAATTTTTATAGGAGTATTTATTGCTTTATGTGAAACATTTTATTGTCTTAAAGGTGTGCCTATATATCAGATTTTCAAATCAAGTCTATAAGCTAAGTTTTTGATGAATGTTGATATTCTATTTCTAGCTAAGTATTTTATTTTAGGAATCTTATTGAATGAAATGAGTAGAATTTATTGAATTTTATGGCATACACTAAATTTCAAGTACTAGTAATTAAAATTTTAAGTATCATTTGAATGTTTGCTTACTGTTATATTTTTCAGAATTAGTGTAGTTATCATTTATTCAAATTAAAAAAAGAACCCTTTCAGAATATTATTTTCTTCTTGTTTTGAGACTTGCCTGCTCTTTATTATAATAGATAAATTTGCAAAAATGTTTATTTTAATAACAGTAAACAGAAGCTGATGAATATTAGAGATTGGCAAAACCGTTCCTTTAAAAGATTAGATCAGAACTGTTCACTTGCTGAAGTGAATCGGTTCTTTTTAACGATTCACCGCCCACTAACAATGATCTTAATGAATCCGCTTGGAATAGGTGTGGATCAAGAGCGATATTCAAAGATGGGAGAAGAGCAGAAAGAATTTAACAAGGAGTGGGATCGCTGGAATCAACTCAACCAAACCTCTCACTCCCTGAACTGATTTCTTTCAGCTATATTTTTGAGATTCTGTGAAAAACTTTTCTACATAGAACAATTAAATTCTGGAATAAAAAAAAAATGTTAAAAACAAAAAACTTTATTCCACTCCTCCTTCACAATCTTCAGAATCCATCCGTTTTGGGATGCCACTAAAGGTAATAGCTTCAATTCTGGTTTCATTTCTCATTTTTGAAAAAAGTAAAGCAATAGATTTAGAGGTATGGCTTGGAGGAGCCTTAAACTGATGGAACTTAACACAGTGAAGATTGGATAAAGAGATAGAACCTCTTTAAAAATAGGTGTTGAAACATATTTCTGATTGTAATCTGAATTAATTTTGACATTTTTTTCTACTTCTCTTATCCAGTAATAACCATAAAATCTTTAGAAAAAATTTCCTTGTTTCCTCTGACCAACATATTCAGTCTTTTTCGGTAGTAAATTAAATCTTTTTCTATTACAGTCAGATAAGTATACCCAAGCCTCATTGATTGTAACTATATATTTCCATTTTTACCTACCAAATAATTTTCATACTGCAATCTGCACATAGTCTTAGCTGAGGAACATGTTTCAGCGTTAGGCAATAAACATCATATTTTTTGGTTACAGAGATATTTAAAGATTTTAATAGCTCTTTGAGCTGCTGGATTTTCCTTTAAACCATGAGATGTGATTTTAAATTTAATAAGAGCTGTACATACCTTTATTAGGTATGCATTTTTTAGTCAGATGTAAACTTTGGCGTTTCTTTCCTTCCATATTAATTACGTCACTCATTTTATGTGTAGATATATTAAAACCATGCTTTTCAAATCTTTTTTTAATAATTCAATAAGAATATTTTTCTTCTGACAGTGCAAAAATATAGCCTTCGATCCATTGTTTATTTTTCAGCAACATTTTAAAGAAAAGAATATTTTTAATGCTGCAGACGATAATTAAACCTTATTCTAATTTGATGCAAGTCACATTATATTTTCAAATTAATATTTAAATGCAATTATTAAAAATCAAAATCGTTACAAAAATGTGTTCGTTTGAACACTCTCTGTACATGTGAGGTAATAGTTACATTGCCGAACGCAAATAGGCAACAAAAATTTGTATAAAACGCTGCAGTCACACCACTACACCTTAAAAAGCAGAAATGCCAAACCTATACGTCAGTTTGCAAGCATCCGAAATCTATAATCCGAAATAACCAAAGCAGAAAGCACAAGCGAAAGACACCATTTGCAGGCTGAAATGCATTGCAAAGCTGTCAGGATGTTTGGTGCAAAACAATCTGCCATTGCTAGAGAGTTGAATAATCATAGTGTCAAATTGTTACCAAAGGCCTGTTTATAAAACCCCTGGAAAAGACGCGAGTCTGGACGCCAGAGGATTACCACAACGACAGATGGTCGCTTAACATACAGAATGATTCTTGAATGGCAGTGATATGGAAAGAGCTAAATCATTGATGCCAAACATCGTCCAAAGAGACTGTCATAGAGAAGAACGCTTACTAGTTTGGGCTGGGATAGCAACCAACAGCTGCACCGATCTCTGCATGATTCCGTCGTAGCTGTCCAATATCGTAACAAAAATTTTTTATCCTCTTATGTGTCCTTTTATCTCTGCACTGGGTACCGATGTGATATTAATGGACGATAATGCCCACCTGCATAGAGCTCGAGTGGTGCGAAGTTATCCAGAGAGTGAAATCATTCTACATCTGCCATGGCCTGCTAGATACCTGGACTTGAATACCACAGAGTAATGCGTGGGACATGCTGGGAGATGGATAGCAGGTCGCAGTGTGCCGCAAGGCACCTTCCATAAGTTCCGCACGCATTATTACAGGAATGGGCGCTGCTGCCACAACAGGCGATCATTATTGCCAGCTTATACCGCTGTTGTCAAAATGCATTTCAGCTAGAAGGTATCATACTCATTATTAGCATGTTTCCATTGCACATTCATCGGAACCATTTAGTCTTTCCCAATGTGATGGTCGTTATGTGTTTCTGTATGTCTTTGTTATGTGGTCTGGTAACGGCACACCAACCTCTTGCTTCATTTTCATACATATCCATTAGATATATATATATTTTTTTATTCCATGTTTTATCTTTGTTGCTCATTTTTTTAGCAATAAGTGTAGTTTTTGGAAGTTTAGTGTTTGAAACAAATTTTTGTATGAGTAGTTATTAAATAGGTAAATTTAAAATTATTGACATTCTGAATCTTTGTGGAAATGTCAGTTACCAGCTCTTACTTCCCATATATATTCAAAAAATTTTTAACCATTATATCTAATTTTCAAAATGGCATTACAATTAGTAAAATATTATTCCTTCTCTGTGTGCTTTTATGTACTCTTAAAATGAAAAATTTTGTATATTTTTCATTTAAATATTACTCTAGGTGCCCGTTGGAAAGCCATGTCCAATGGAGAGAAGCAGCCTTATTATGAGGAACAATCTCGTTTAAGTAAACTGCACATGGAGAAGCATCCAGATTACAGGTATAGACCTCGGCCAAAGCGAACATGTATAGTTGATGGAAAGAAACTTAGAATCTCAGAATATAAACAGATGATGAAGTCACGAAGGCAAGAAATGCGCACATTATGGTAAATATCTAAAAAGAATTCTTTATTATATGAAATATTCATGAGCAATAATTTTCCTTGAATAACTTATTTTACGTATGAAAATTTCTTTTGTGATATACTATTCAGATGAAGTAAAGCGTATTTCTTGTAGCCATTTAAGTAAGTTTACTAATTCTAGTATTTTCAGTCTTAACTATTAAAGAGTTCCAGACAGATTAAGCGATATTCTTGTTATTTATGACTCAGTACTCACTTCAATTAGCAGTGGCAACTAAGAGAGGAAAACGGCACCAATTTCTTGGCCCTGTAAAGGATAGTATGTTCTTATAATACCAAGATCTTCAGTAGATAAGTAAGCTCCAAAAACTTGGTACTTACATGCTCTAAATGAGAGAGAGAAAATAAAATGCTCTACTATCACCAGGAGTTTGCTCACCAATACCAGATTACAAGTCCCTGTAGAGTTTTCTATATTATATTTTCATAGGCTATGAAAAATGGTGTCTTACAGAGAAAAGGCTGAGTTCTAATTGACAAACAACATCTTGAACCAAGGCAAAATTGCTTGTATGTAAGAGAGAATATGCATTTGGTCAGATTGAGAATATGTAATCCATGGTGAAATGTTTGAATATTGCAACACAATCTAAAAATAGCTTTAAGCTTATTGCAGTGGCTGAATGAAGAATCTAGCTAAAATGATTTGATCAATTAGCATGGCATGTTTTTTCTGTGTAACAGTGTTTGCCTTCGTGTCATAGATGTAACCAAAACTGCTGTTCAAGAATTTAGCTGGCTAACTGCATTATACACAGTCTAGTCACATTAATGTGACCCCCCGTCAAAAGCCGGAATAACCACCTTTCGCAGAGCGAACCGCTGCGAGACATGCAGGAAGGCAGTTAGGTTCTTAAGGTTCATCAGGATATTGAGCCATGTCGACTGCAATGCAGTGACCAGCTGCACTAGGTTATGCAGTTGAGGACCCAAGGTGCGAACAGCCTGATCGAAGTGATCCCACAGGTTCTCGATTGGGATTAAGTCCGGCGAGTTTGCTGACCAGGGAAGTACGATAAACTCATCATGGTGTTCTTGGAACCATGCACATACACTGTGAGCTGCGTGACACTTCGCATTGTCTTGCTGGTAGATGCCATCATTCTGAGGAAAAACATTTTTGCATGTAGAGGTGGACATGATCCGCAAGGATAGATGCGTATTTCTGTTGATCCATCATGCCTTCCACAATGAGTGCACTCAAGAGAATGCAAGAAAACATTTCCTAGGTTTCCTCCTCCAGCTTGGACCTTTCCGGCAGTTGTTGCAGGGTGTTTGCTTTCCGATGTTTCACGCTGTATATACCAACGTCCATCTGTCCTATGGAGCCTAAAGTGTGGGTTGCCACTCAATGGACGTCCAGTTGTGGTACTGGCGTGCAAAGTCCAGCCTTCGTTGCCAGTGAACTACTGCCAGCATATGTGCTTTAACCAGGTATCTGATGCAGAGGCCCGTACACAGCAACGTTCATTGAACCGTCCTTAAGGAGATACTGTTGGTAGGTAGCCTTTTGGTTAATCTGGAAGGTTTTGCTCAACGAATGCTCGTCTATTGGGCAGAACACATCTCTGCTTTGCCGTTCACCTTTGTCATCTATGGTCGCCCATGGTGCACCACATTTGCCACGTCGCTGATTTTGTAAAGTGCCATTTTGCAATGCACGGTATAGTTTTACCATGGTGGCACACGAGCAATTTACAAAATTAGCTGTTTCGTAAATGTTTCCATCCTTGGCCCGAAAGCCAATGATCATGCCCTTTTGGACATCAGATAAATCGCTCCATTTCTGCATTACGCCAATGATTTCTGACTTAGGCTTCATATTATGACTGGGCTATTGCAAGGTGCAATGATGCCGGTTCAATGAGATGATGCCCTGAAGCACATGACATAATGAGCTCTGGACGTGGAGAGAATCTCTGAAGAAAAATCGGAGGGTGACCTGAAGGGACCAAAGCAAGAAATGTGTCAGACAGATGACTCAGTGCTTGACGAGAGTAAGAGTGGAAAATAACCATATGTTAAACAATGATCGAGTAGAATAAATTCAAAATATAATAAATAATCAAGATACTACTTATGAAATACAACCTATAAGAATGCATACAAATGCTAAAGCCTTACAATGAAAACAGTAAATATAATGTATAAAATTTAAAATACAGAAAAATTCCAAACAAGTTCAAAACTCAACCGAGGTTAAAATCAGATAAATGGAAAAGTATAGGTAACCACCGACCTAGAAGCTAGGTAACAAAATTCTGGGTCACCACCAATGATAGTATGTGCAGCAAGAAGTCTAATATTTCTATCTTCATATAATATCTCGTGATTAAAGACTTGTGAACAGTTGACGAAGTCACATTGGACAGCCTGAGTAAAAAAACTTCTCATTAGTCCTTTTGATATAGTCATAGATAGTATTTATTTTAAAAAAAAAAAACCCTGTGAAGGCGTTCATTCCTGATCAGGTGGTCAGCATCGGTAATGACGCACAGGAACTTGTTTTGAACCACTTGTAGTTGGTAAAGTTGGCTCCTTGTGGTTATGTTCCATGCTGGAGCAGCGTAACATAAAATTGGTCTAATGCACGTAGTGTAGTAGATGTGTCTCTTAGTGCAAAGGCTAAGATTTGAATACTTCCCTATAACAGGGAGGCATCTACACATGATACCAATGGCTGTACTTTTGATACTATTGATGTGGTTAGCCCATGTCAATCTTTGATTTAAAATGATGCCTAAGTATTTGACTAAAAGAACTAGTTCTTGAAACAATAGAAGTTCTTTAAAGTTGGTATGTTTTCAGGTCTTGCTGAGGATTAGCAACTGAAATTTGCTCGCATTGATCTTGACACGCCAGTTGGTACACCAATCTTCCATGGAATAAAGATAATTTTGCATCTTGGTGATAGCTTGAATTGCTTTGATGGCGATTGCCGTATCATCAGGATAGCAAGCAAGTAGAGAGTAATTGTCCAGTCCGGGATGCGGAAAATCAAATATATAAAAAAAGAAATGATTTCTGATTCTTTCAGACACCCTTTATATATGCTCCACTGCAGTGTGCTGTCACCTGCCTTCTGTGATTGGTTACTTCACATTAATGTGACTGGACTGAGTACTTAACCTTATTTTCCTCCTCTAGCTTCTTCAGGTTATCACTTATTTATATTCAACAATGTCCAACACAATTCTCGTTCAGTGACGACATGGAGATGAAAAGCATGGCTTCAAGTGAAGATCAGATGATTTCTGTTGTTGGGATATTGACTGCTTGTTGAACATTTCACCCAATAGTCATAATTAGTGAAGGAGAATATATTACTAACTGAATCACAAACAGTTTGATGGGAATTACACATTAAATAATGCACATGAATTTATCTGATAATATATTTTACATACATTCATAAATAGATAAATTAATTATGATAAGAGTACTTAAATTATTTTGATAAAAATGAATAAGTTTAATATTAAAACTAACATATATTTATTCACATTTATGATTTTGTGAATAACTTTGCATCCTGAGGTAAAATTTTCTTACTTAAAATATTTAAATTTTTATTGTAGGTATCGTGATGGTGGTATTGGAGTTATAGACTCTCCTACAATGGTTACACCTGCATCTTCTTTACTGTCCATGCCAAATGTTTCTGTGGGCTCCAGTGAAATGGCTGGTACACTTGGAATAAAACTTTCACCATCTAATGGAACAATGGATGGGCACATGTTACCTTCAGATCCTCTATCTCCGGACAGAACCTCTCCCCCAACTACCTCAACGTCTCTTCCGAGAATAAAAAGTGATGAACATGACAGCTCTCTGTCAATGGAAACAACTACATGAGAATAGCCCAGCCTCTTTTGTAGGATATTAAACCTTAGCATTTAAAGATTTCTGGATTTCAGTATCAAGAAATATTTGCTTTCTAAACCACACAGACAGTGTATATAGCTGTAAATTTCAATTGTCATCCTTGTTTATGTCATATAAAAAAAAGAAGAGATTGCAATGTTCCTCGTATGATTGATATTGAAATTACCAGTTGGGATTTCAGAACATCTCAGTGTGCTAATGTGAAGATTTGTGAATAAATTGTTTTATAGTACAAGTTGAAAAGTGAAAATGTATTTTCAAAAAGAAAGATATATTTCTCAAAGCATTTTACTAAATGCTTTTTACAAAGTTTTCACTAAAATTTTCACTGTATCAAATTGTATAGAAAATTCATTAGGGCTGAAGAAAATGGAAATTTTTTGTGCATGCGATTTTTTTTAATGCACAGCTCAAGCTCAGAATGATAATGAGAAAATAAAAAAAATTATGTTCATTAAAAAGTGCATACTTTACACACCTTTATACATATTTTATTTACAGGCATGTTAACGTTTTTATTAATACTTTTTTATAATCAGAAGTGCAAACTTATTTCACCAATTGACAGAGTTAAATGATATAGAGAATAATGCATAAGATAAAAAAATCATAATATTCTGTATTAATTCTATGATGTATGGCATTAGAAACCATTTTTTGTTTGTTAAATAATAAAAAAATGATGAAAATATTCATAAATATATCATTTGGATATATACTGTAAATTAAATTTATACAACATTAGTGAAATTTTTTTTTGGTTAATTGAAAATAATTATTAAAATGTTCATAAAAATATCAGTGGCTATACTATAAATTAAATTTGTTTTAAATACCATCAATAAAATTCTTTTTTTTTTTTTTTAAATTATTAAGAAGCTTGTTTATGGTGGTGCCACACTTTACTTAAAATTAAAAAGACCATGAGCATAGCATAACAGAATGTATAAGAAGTGACTAAAATAAAATGTAAATCAACAAGAAGCATAGTTGTTGCCTTTAAATTAATCATGCTGCCGAATACTTAACGAGTCACATTTATAGCCATACAGAGATTAAAAAATAAATCTCTCATTTTGCACAGTGATGATTAATTCTATAAGACGATAAAAGGCATATTAATGTAATATAACACTAAAGTTGAAAAATCGTAGAAAGACATTTCCAATGTTAAAATTTTTTTCTTTTTGTCATTATTAGTATACTAACACAAATCGATAATTTTATTCTTATTTATTTAAATTAAGTCAGCTTTTATGCCACTGATAGCAAATAATAATTTTAATTTTTGTATATTCCTATTTAAAGCAAATACAGTGTTTCTAAATCATACGTAACATTTATGAAGCAAGTAAAGAACAAGAAAGTAAAGGCATTTTGTTTCGAAGAATGTAAAACGTGGTGCGATTTCTTTCTTAAGCATCATGTTATGATTTTGAATGAGAAAATACTCCCCAAGATCACCTTCGGAAAAGTTTTCTTCAGTCATGTTTTTGATGTAAATAATTTGTTCCATCCCTCTTGCATTTGTGAACATGAACTGAATTTTCTACAAATTGTTCAATATTTAGCAAGAGGATTTTCGTGTGTTTGAGAATCCTCATAGAGGGAAAAAAATTAATTAAAAAAATTCAATTAATAAATTATTCATTGTGCTTTGATAAGAACCCAAAAGTGCAAAATCCATGAAATATACTCAATGTTCTCTCTCAGGTACATATGCTATAATCTTAGTCTAGCATTTAAACTACTTGTTCTATCCTATCTGAGAATGAACATTAACTATAAGCAGATAATAATAGTTGCAGTATAGTAATGAGGAGCTTTTTAAAGTTTACAGGATATTTATATCGTCAAGGAAAATCCTGTAGAGTTAGACAATACCATACTTGATTGAATGATTCTTTTTTACTTTGCAGTTTATTTTCATGCTAGTGCCAGATCAGGATCTTCATAAGTTTACAATCACAATGCTGGAAGTATTAAAAAAAGCTAAACTTAATCGACAGCAATCAGAACATCAGGATTTGGGCAGTTAGGCATCAAGTCAGTAATGAGAAATGTAATTTGGACACTTTTTCCCACAAAAAATCAGTATCATCTGAGGTAATCCATACTTTATATGTAAGATTCATGACTAATAGCTGTTCTGTGCTAATGAATGCTGAATAAAATTTTTTTGCATTTAACTTCGATATACTGTGCACAGATTAGCTATCAGTTATTAACCTGATTGGTAATGGTATTATAGGAGTTTGCAGATAATTGGCTTTACAGCAATATACGTGGTTCCAGTTTACTGAAACCTCATCTTATCATTATTCAGTAGTAACAAGATTACGAACTGAATTTTAAAAACAATACATCGGTCCAGGGAAATAGATTTCATTACCAAATACTGAACTAGCATCTCGGATTTCCTGATCTTTTGGCTTTTATTTGTGGGGTCACTTATGCTATGATATTTAGAGTATACTCTAAAACTAATCTGGCAGAATTTTGTAAAACTGACAAAAATTTGGAATAACTCAGAGATGACGCAGAAAAAGTAGTAGATGTATTCAATAACAGATACAGCTAAGAACAGCATTGACATTTTTACATGTGAATGTAAACAGAAGGTACAAAGGTACAAGTTTCTATACTCCCTCTTCACGATTTTATTTTTTTAAATAAATATAATTTTCAAATTCTCGCAGAGATCCTGTTCTGCTGGTTGTAAGTATAAGGAAAAGCAAATAAGAATTTGTTTCGTATGTATAGAATTTTTTGCCATGGAAAAGTATTAAGTGTTTTAGTGCAACTTTTCAAACTGGAACCTTTGTTTTACGGTTTTATGTAAAAAACATTCGATCCTTCATAAAAATTCTCATGCAATTTTAACTCTTTGATTATGATTGGGGTTATATATTTTATAGTGAAATTGATAAGCAAAGGTTTAAGAAAATTTGTACCTAGAATTAGGTATAGGATTAATTTAAAAAAAAAAAAAAAAAAAACAGCCACCTTTTTCAAACACCTTGTATATAACTATTTTCTATCAACATACAAATATGAAAGTTCCATGCTTCCCATTTAAGTTCAAATGAATCTTATGAAGTTAACCAGTGCACAGTGTGAAAACTGTCATATTGAACACAAACTGCCTTTACTTCTTTTTTCCTGTATTTGTATAAAAAATATTTAAAATTACATAAAAAGGAAAAATGACTAAAATTTTATATATGATAAAGAGTAAATTAAATATAAAAATATACCTAAACAAGTAACCAATCTTTGAAATGTTATATAACAAAAAAATTATGTCATATATAAAAGTATACATAATTATAAAACCATTTTAATTACAACAGCTGGATACTAATTTGCATTATAGGTTTTTAAGTAAAAAGGAAGTTTCTAAAAATACAGAAATACTCTACTGCTTTTAATGCATTTCTTTACATAGTGAATGATTATGTATTTGTTTAAATAAATTATTACAGTGATTTCAAATCAAAGCATGAAAAATGCTATATAACATGAATATTGATTGTTGTCTGATTAATGGATAGCATATTGAAAATAAACTTTACATTCTTCAATATGCATTTCATTTGATTCTGTGTACTCTGCAAAACTTGTGTACTGTTGTTCTGCAATTTTGTGCTTTTATCCATTAAAGATTCCAAGTTCTTTTGTGACAGAACTTTACTCCAGCATGTAATATTTCTTTAATAATGTGTACAGAATGTTTAAGTGCATGTAATGCCTTTCTGATACTGAACACAAATATTTTGTTGTTGGCCAGTTGCTGAAAAAAAGGGCATTTGAGGTGGCATAATGCCTAAAACAAATCTTAAGGTTACAATGTTTGATGCAGGGTTTTGATTATAATGTGCAAATATAACTGCTCAATGTGAACTACCTTCTAGTCTGTGATTTAATCCATCTCTTGCAGAGTACTTTTTTTTTAACAGTATTATTGGAAAAACAAAGGTGGTTATAGTTTCATCTTCTGGTTTGTACAATGTGCTGTGTTATTGTTTGAAAATTTAAGTATTTAGAATTCATCTGGAACTAATTGAAAATAAACCACTTTTGTGAATACATAGTGTTATTTATTTGTATTTTGTCTGCTTTATCTTTTTATAATTTATTGAAGTATACAGGCGTGTTCAAATATAAGTAGATTTAATAAGGAAAGGCTTTCATCATAAAAACTGTTCTTTCTCTCAATAATATGAGTATGAATAAACTCAATTTCAAATACAAAATAAAACTTCAGTTGCAAAAACATTGTAGATCCTAAAATAAAAAATTAGGGAGACAGTGCTGTTTGGCAGTCGTCCAAAGTTTCCAGGAAAATACAAAAAAGAAAATAAGCATATCCAAATAGACTAATGCAGAATCTTAATTTCAATGTATCTATATACTGTTGAGTTATTTGTTTATACAGGGTTAAGGACTTTTAAGGACCATCAATGAAAAAAGTTAAGGACCTATCAAGCAAATAGGAACTAAATAAACTAAATCAGTTATCTACACTCGAACTTCACTTTTGTAATTTGTAACAACAAAATAAATCTGTATATAGGAAACATTACTATTATATTGCAGAGTGATTAGGGATCCCCCCCTTAAAAAAAAAAAAAAAAAAAAAAAAAAGCTGTAGAGGTGAAAAATGTGCAATGCCCTCGGGGAGATTTGGACCTTAGACATCTTGAATACGCCTCCAGTATGCTTCCAAATTACACCATGAAGGTAAGTGGAAAGGAGGGAGAAAATACCTTATAAAACATAATCTACTAATTTAATAATCATAAAACAAATTCAAGAATAAAATAAACTTCAATATAAATTTTATTTAATGCTAATTACTTGAAATTTTTTTTCAAGTAATTAGCATTAATTTCAAGTAATTAGCATTAAATTATAAATTTTCTAGAAACATTTATATTTTGTACTTTTAATAGTCCCACATATTTTAAAGAAAATTGGTGGCTTTTTATTTAAAGTATACTATTAGTTAGCTTTATAATGATATTTTTTTTTTGAATGCCTCACTTTGTGACATACTTGCTCAGTCCAAAGGTATATGCAAATTTTATGTTAAATGGCATTGAGTTAAACTGCAAAGTAAAATAATAATCAGCATGACAAAACAGAAGCTAGGCTTATGCCACCACAGTTGCTTTCTTAGAGAGCTGTTGATCAGAACAGACGTGAATGCCTGACGTTGGTAAGTGTTGAAAGTTAGTTGCACTTTTGTCTGAGTTAGTGTCATAGTTTTGTGTAGCTTTGCTGAAGTTGTAACCCAGTTAATAGTATTTAATATGAAGTTCCAATAAGCCATTGGAGTACTAGAGATGATAGGTTGTTTTGTATTATTTTAAGTCCCATTAGCTGTGAGGAATAAATTTTTACGTTTGTGCATTTTTTTTTTTTTTTTTTTTATTAAATTTTGCATACACAATAAGGATTAATGAAAAGAGATAACTCACCTTAACATGTACGGACAACTTCTAAGTTAAGCAGTTTGTTGCATCTTAACTTGAAAATTTTCAGATGTGTCAGCTAACTGATTTCCTTCTCTTTAGCGTTTTTTGTAAGTTTATTTGTTTCAATAAACAAATTAATGCTCTCACTAGTTTTTGTTTCATCTCCTATTTTGTTAATATTAAACAATGTACCTATGAAGAAAAAAATTTCTTGCCCTTTTATAAAAACAATTTTTTTTTCAATGAATTTCCTCTTCATTTTAGAATTTTCAGATTTAATTAAAGATATTTGGTTTTCCAAAGAAAAGCTTGTACTTAGAATGTGTAGAAGAAACTGCTAATTTTATTTCTTTAATAATAATTGAGTATTGAAAATAAATATGAAATGATAGAAGGTCAAGACGTGCATCACAGGCCAGTGAATATTAGTGAAGCACCAAGCAACAAAATTTAGGGCACGCACTGAGGTTATGCATGGTGCACTGAGGCATTTATAATGACTATTTTATTTAACTGTTGCTTTTCAATTTCTTTGGTTGGATTGATCCTTGTGTCTAGTGGAGAGATAAGAAAATAAACGCATTAAGAGACTTCTGTGAATTTTCAAGAGAAAAGTGATACACATTCAAATATTCTGAAATAATTACATAGGAAAAAATATAAAAAAAGGAAAATGAAATTAATTGTTGTTAAATAATTACAGTAGCATTTCTGTTTTTTTAAGAAGCGTTTCAGAAACACTGCCTTTATATAGCATTTATTATTTTGTTTATTTTTCAGAATTGAAATATTTCAAAGTCACCAAAATGGAAAGTAATGTCACTTTAAAACATGGCCAAAGAAAATAAAAATGTTCTATTTTTAATGTCACTTCTTAAATATAATTTTAATTTATTATCATCATTTTACTATATTTATTAGTGTTACTATGTTTTAATTTAGATGCTATGATTGATAATTGTTAATGATTTTAACTTAGATGTTTGTTAAAAAACTGTCAAAATTTTGCAAATCTCTGAATAAAATTTTTTTTATACAAGCTGATTTTGAAATCACTAAATTTTGCGCCCTATAATAAAAACCTCATATCTCAAAAGGGCAATGTAATATTTTATGAATTCTTCATTCGCAAAGAAGGAATTAATTTGAAATGCTTATGTTTCAATTGAAACAGAGCCTCGTGCTTTTAAAACTTGAGTAATCACTATTTTTTATTACGAAGTAAAGATTTTTGAAACGTCAAATACATACTTCTTAATGCATCAGCAAAAAAAAAAAAAAAAGTTCCTCCAAAGTTAGGCTTACCGTATTTTGTATTTTTTAGGGTCCAACCCAGGACATATAAGCCCAGAATATATTTTTGAAATTATTTAAAAGTCTTAACAAACTGTTAAGACTCTTAAACTGAAACATTAAACTTTATTTATTCAGTAGTATTTTTCATTAGACACGACTTTTTCCAGAAATCGTTTGCTTGTTTTAATTACATCATAAAATTCATAACAGGAAAGTTCTGAATTAATTTTAACATTTAGCATATGTTTAACAGTACATACTGAAAGCCTACCCCTTTCTGCAGGCCAAATGTTCCCCGTAATTAAAAAACTCTCTCAACGAAGCAGATGTCCCAGGCAAAGACATTGCAAACTCAGCCATTTAAAAAATATTGCAACTTGAAATACCAGTCTTTGAAAGCACTTTAAAAATTGCTTTCACTTCTCTTCAGTAGTATCAGATACTTTTTCAGAATCTGATCCACAACCTACCCTTTGGTTTTGAATTATATGGTTTAACAATGTACGTTTATCAAAATAACTCATCAATATTTATGAATTCTTGTATAATTTCATTAACAACCTGTGCACTCTCTTTTAAATCAGACCTGGCAATTTCATTTCATAAATTTATCCATTGAAACTTACTTTATCAAAACTGGTTCTTCACAATTCTTAAGTATTGAATACTAGGATTATAAAAATTGTCTACGCTTGAGAAGAATTTTTGTTCCTGAACATCATTATTTTCTTTTAGAGTGCGTAGCAATTCTTTGGCAGAAGATGGTATAAATTTGTGGGTTTTTCCTTCCTGAAGTCGACAAATTAATTCAGAATATGTCTGAAATGCTTCTGTTGCTGTGATAGAACTAGCTTCCAGTTTCAGAACTACATTATTAAATAACTATAGAGAACCATATAAAAATTTCAAAAACAGTTCACTTTCTAGATTTAAAAAAAAATCAAATACTAATTTTGGGCATTTGTCACAAGATAGGAAGTATGATAGATACAAGATAGGCCATCAAAAATGGAAAGAATTCTATCAATTGCAGGTAACAAACTAAGAAACCTTGTGCTATGAGATAATACTTTTTTTAATCTGTTTGCACAAATTCACAGAACTCTTTCGTTGCTCTTACTGTATATATGTGAAAATATTCGTAAATTAAAAATTGTCTACACTTGAGAAGGAATTACGTTTGAAATTAAAAATTGTCTATGCTTTTATAACAATAACTTTTATGTTCAGGGGTAGAGAATCACATGCTGTTTGTACTGAATAATGTACAATGTGGGCTGAACACCAATTCCTAAAATAAGTTTATCTAAATCATTTTGAACTTTTCTGAACACATTTTCATTCCCTTTTCTCTTCACACCACCAAAATTACTGTTAGTATTATTGGCAGTATAACAAACCAACTTTTCTTCAAGTTTATAGTTTTTCAAGCACTGCAAAAGATACCGAGCCAAAATTAGAGCAGTTTCACCTGACACTTCATTGAAATTTAAAAGCTTAACTCGAATTCTCTCCTGCAAGTTGAATTGGTGAATATACCTCGCACAGGGTTAGTAATTCGATAAACTTGAACATTTTAAAGACACAGAACAGACCATACAGGTTACCTGCACAGCTGCAACTGAGCACAGCTGTTTCCAAGGAATGCCGGGACATGACGCAAGCACTTGTTGCAGTTCACATATTAGTGGATACAACAAAATGGCCCTTACTTAAAAAACACGCTACGTAGCTTGAGGAATTAAAAATCATTTCACTGCAGGAAGATGTCTCCTACTGCAAATAGCATGTTTCCTGTGATAATAAATGCATGATTTACCAAATTGAACAGAACTATCAGTTTGAGAATTTTGAATAAATTTATGCTTTACTGTGAATTATTATTGATGAAGTGAGGTATTTATATATGCATAATCATATATATTATAGCATATTTCTTTAATTCTGTGATAAATTAATTATAAGGTACATCCTTAAATTTTGAAATAAAAGCTTATTGAAGAGAGATAAAAGAAAAAATGCTCAAACAGCACCTAGTAATTTTTCTTTGTTTGATAATTGACTTTGATTTATTAACAGTAATGGTATATCTATTTAAACTAGTGATTTGTAACAATTAATTTATTTAGAATATTCACAAAAATCTGTATTTTACTGAATTAATAATAAAAAATATGTGTGCCTAAGAATTAAAGAAATATTATACATTTATAAATACATATTATAGTCACATGTTATGCACAATATATATATATATATACATATATTGTTGAAATATATATATTGTTGAAGACTGTTTTATTATATATTGTTTACTATATATAAATTGAAGGCTGCTTTATATATATATATATATAATAAAACAGTCTTCAACCTAAGTATAAACAGTTTCATAAATATATAAAATGTAAATTTCAATCACTATTCAGTAGGTAAATTCCACAGAAAATTGCATATATATATATAGTATATAATATATATACTATATATATAATGATTTGAAGAGAAGACTGAGATACTTGCAATCATGGCTAGTCAATATTTTTTTATTTTCACTGACAAACATTTTTAATGGCCATAACAGGCATTAAGTATGCCCATTCTTGAATGCACTTTAGCCTTTTTTTCTAACACTGCAGCAAGTAAGGACAGCAATCTAGAAGAAAGTTTGGTTCAGAATGATTTAGTTTCAGTAAAGATTTGTCTTGATAGGCTAATTTGAAGTTTTGGTTTCCATATTTGAAATCCTTATTCAGCTGAAGCACAATGTCTGCATGATAAGCATTATGCAAGAATAATGTGATATGGTTTAATTTAGAAATGGCGTAGTTTAAAGACAGAAAGCCACTCAGATATAATAGTGGTTAGAGATGCTGACTGTCATGGCAAAGGACCTGGATTTGAATCTAGAAGAAAGCATGTTCATAAATGCATAACATATGTGCTGCATGGGGGTTCTCAAAATATGTGACAATCTGAAAATCTTCTCGAGTGGCTTAATGGTAGAGGAAAAGAGTTGGAATATAGCGTTCAAGGTTCATGCCAATGACAGATGCAATCTTGTACTAATTGGCATGATAAAATTTGTATTATAATTTTTATTTACAGATTTTTACATAGTTTACAACAGCAGTTCCCAATCCGTACTTTGCACAGACCTGCGGCCTCTTCAGCTGCTCTAAAGAAATAATAAAAACAAATAATTGAGAATAAGAGATAAAAATTAGAATCAAAATCAAATTTAGATATTATATATAATTCAGCCATTATGTAGAACTGCATATTGAAAGAAGCTTCTTACTCATTCTTGATCCTTTAAGAATTCTTGGTATTTGCTTAAAACACAGTGTTCATTAATAAAGGTGATAGTAAATATAATTAACTATATAAAACTGTGATCTCTTTAACAGCAAACTCTATATACCAATATGTGAAGAGTATGAGAAATTGACAACTCTCCTGCTGCATGTCAAAGCAAAATGGTTGTTTCAAGGTGTAAAGCAATCACTAGTGTCTCTTTGAATATTTTAAAGTTTTTGTAAAATGTTGTATCTTAATTTAGGCCTGTGTGCTGTAATTAAATAATATTAAAATTAAATTCTAATTGTCTTCTATGAAAAGTACTATAAATTCCAAATAAACGGATATGTGTTTGAACAGAACTACATATAATTTACTGTAATAACTTTAATAATGCTCTCAAGAATAATGAGTAATATCTGTTATAACACAGGATAGTTAAACTTTGGTAGAAACTTTATGTATGACTAACTTTTGACAATATAACATTGAAAATAAATTGAGATAATGTATATTTCTGAATATAAGCCAAGGGTGTACTTTTTCCCTCAAAATTTTACTTAGAATTCAAAACTTATACATAAGCTGAAATGGGGGGGGGAATCCTGTGATGTTAAAACATATCACCATATGCTGCCAAGCAGGAGAAATGGATGGAATATTTTATAATCAAATCGCGGTAAAAAAAAAAAAAAAAAAAAAAAAAAAAAAAAAAAAAGACGCTAACGATGATAGTTTTAACTATGGTAAACCCTATCTGAAGTTAGCACATTTTTTCTATTCATTTGTCTTGTACAGGATTTGTTATATCTGTGCTAGTTTTATTTTCTGTGCCACTTTATTTTGTGTGAAAAATGAACAGGAAAAGAAATTTTTACATGGCAAATTTCATGCTATAAGTGCGCATTTACTGAAAATTTTAACCTCATGGCATACTCGGCATTTCTCCATAAATGAAAAAGAAGTTCAAATGGAGGGAAAAAAGGTCAGCAAATATAAGCAATTTGGGGGAGGGGATTTTTCATAAAATAAAAAACTCATTCATTAAATTTTTTTTTATTAACTTCAAAAACCTAAACTAAAGAAACAAAAAAGTGCTGCGTTGGTGATATATCACTTGTGCCCAATAAATGGAAACGTACACAAGTTTTTTACGATATTAGGAACCGTACTCTATAATTTAGCTTTAGAAAGAGTTTAAAAAATTCTCGACTTAATACAGTATTATGGGCAAGTCGAATTTTTTAAAATAATATTTCATTTCATTAACAGTTATTTTAGATACCTCCTTACTTTACATTCTCTTACAATCTATGCATTTTTCCTAACGCTGGTTTACAATAACCAGACATGCAGTTCTTCAGCTCATGTTGAAATATGAAGGATCATTCAAAATTTAGGTCATTACTGCATTAATACTCTATTGGAAATTCTAAAGCTCTTCTGTTTTTAAATATTTTGTGATTCTGTTTTAAATTTTATATGATGTAAGGGTGAAGAACACGATAGTTAATAGCACTAAAAAGTCAAAAAAGATTGTTAAATCATCTTACTAAGACAACTGAACATCGATATGGTTAACTGAGAAAATACTGAACAAAAATATAGGCCAACACTTAATGCTGTATCAGGAATTCTAAACATGTGTTGCTTTTAAAAATTTTCATGTTGAATTTTATGTGGTATAAGTGCAAACAAAGCGATGCTTAATAGTAAAGCTGAAAAGACGAAAAAAGTTATGCTAGCAGGAATAAGTTCAACAGCTCAGAGCATAAAAACTGTAACAAACCCTTAAACTAGTACATTAAAATCAGAATCTTTTTAGCTTTTTATTTTCTTTCTTTTTTAACTTTATACTATCATTTTGCAAATGAAAGTATAATAAAAAACATGCAAAATCCTTTTAAATTTTAATCTACATATGTATATTTCACATAATTTCAGAACTGCATAAAAAGAAACTCAACCATCCATAATGTTAGCAAATATACATAATAAATAATTCATAAGTAATACTGAATCTAAGTAAAGAGTAATGGGTACTACTCCATTTCAGGGGGCTGTTGGTGATGGTTAAATTTTTTATGCCAAATTAAACACCAAATAAGGCAAAAATTCAAAATCTAGATCCTAATCTTAAATTATAAATTTTTAGAGCAGGCAGAAAATTTTTAATAGCTTCCAACACTGAAAATGGAGGGGAAGAAAAAAAAAAAAAAGTTACTTTTTTATGCATTATAGATCTACATAAACTCAGATAAGTACAATTTGAGATGTTATCGAGTCATGTCTTGACACATGTTGTGCCATTTTGTGCTTCCCCACTGGCGTTCTACAGTTTGAGTGCGACATCCACTTTCTGGACTGAGAAATTTGTGGTTCACAATGAAATGTTTGAAGCTGGCATCTTCCAGTTCATCTGATTTATAAGCCTTCCAAGAATTTATGTAAACAGTTGTTCCATCCGTAACATTTTCCTTAGTGACAACCAATAAAGTTTTCGTCAATTAATCAGGAATTGCAACTAAAAAAGCATTCACTAGAATCTCAGCACAATCTGCCAAAAACCCATTGTTGTGGAAGAACTCAATCAACGTTGCTCTTTCTCCTAGTGAAAAAGACTATCATCTGTTTCGACAACCTTGTCACTTCTGCCAGGCTATTATAGCTGCTATGCAAACCCTCTGCACATAAGTATACCAATCAACAGTCATATTATGGTTTATCTTAAGTTGTAATTTGCAACATTCAATTGAAGTCATCTCCTGGCACCAGAAACACGCGAAACTCACAAGTGTGTTCGTGTATTTCTGGTTCTGGTGGTATATTTTGAGATCTTCAAACCAATTTTGCTTTTGCAATCCTTTCCTGCAATGCCATTTCCCAACATTTTGTTCAGAACTCAATTTCATTTCATGATCTTTCAAGCATAACTGCTTATTTTTCATGATGCTTCTTGTTTAAAATAAATCAATCGCAGACTTTTCATACATAGGCAATTCCAAAACTGTGAAATCTATAAAAGTGGGAGGGGGAATGCTTTAACCCTCTAAGCGGTAAGGGCATATATATATGACCTAGAATATTTTTGTGATATCTGTAAGAACTTATATATACGTGCATATTAAAATATGTCAAAGAAATTAAGGCAATATATCAAAAGTACTTAAATCCAAGTATGAAATTCCAGGAGTGTTTTTACCTTAAAATAAAAAAAAAAAATAATTTGTTCTCATAGTAGTTTTGGGAAATTTGTGCTTTCTTAGCGAAAACCCTGGCTGCTCAGAGGGTTAAACTAATATTTATTTCTTGTAAAAAGGTTATTAGGTTAGGTTATTTAATTAGGAAAAAGCCTCGAGGGCTATCTGCCTAAGGGGAGGAATGCCTTCGTGGAGGTCTTTCTAAGGGAAACTGGCTTGTATACACGTTACACATGGGGAAAATCATGAAAATACCCAGGCAGCCAGCCAGTTCACGGGATTCGAAGCGCGGACCGAACTACTAGTGTTCAGCGATTTTACCGCTCGGCCACTGGTAGGCCCCTTGTAAAAAGGAAACTGAACTTGTGAATTATGTGAGTTGTTAACTGAACTAGTGCATTGTGTTAAGTTTACCACAATTAATCAAGCATCACTGGCATCAATAACAGTTTGGAGACTTTTTTATGTGCCTGGGAACGAAATAGTACCATTGATTGAAGACGTTACTTCAAAGCAACATATCGTAAATTTGGTGAAATAAAGTTTAAGCCTTTTTGGTACAGAAAAAAAAAAAAAAAAGCATAAATGTTAGAAAATGATGAATATTTGTATGAAATAGTGAATGCATGTATGTAATTATATTTGGGGATGCAATGCTGTTTTGAGACTTCTGAAACTGTATCAGAAAACTCTTATCACCATTTTTTTTTAAAAATTATTATATTATTATTTGAAAACCTAAAAGTTTACATTTAACCATCTTTTTCCCCCTGATTATCTACAGGAATTTAGCAGCTAATTTTAACTGTAATTTTATATCATTCTTTTAAATATTTAGAACCAGCTCTTTCTTTTTTCTCAAACCATTTTGAAGTTCAAAATTTTTAGTCAAACTTCATAAATATGTATTTGCATACTCATCATCTCTTTTGTAACAATCCCTCTATTTAATGGATGTAGATATAATGGAATCAAAGTGGCACCTCACTTAACAATCAAATTGCCCCCCCCCCCCAAAAAAAAAAAAAAAAAACTTTGGACATTGAATGGTATCTTGAGCAATGAACACTCAAATCAGCAATATGTGATTTTCAAAAGTGTTTTAAGGTAACCTATGCCACATAATTAACACTCGAGGCCCTTTGAAAAACATAATTTTAATACTTTCTATTGCTTAACTCTCATTAACAGAACCTGAACAATAACTTGTAGGACTTGGGTCAGGAGGAAATTACACGAGACTGGGCTGCAGACAGAAAATGCGAGCATTTTAACATTGTCATGTCTCAATTTAGAAGGTTTTTAAAACATACTGTATTTTCTGGTGTATAAGACACACTTTTTTTTTTTCTTTTTGAAAATAGTTCTGAAAAATGGGGTGCGTCTTATACGTCGACACTCAGTTTTTTTATTGCATTCATTTCTGAAAATTTCCTCTATTCGGAGTTATGCAATTTTTTTCTTGTTCCCTAGTGGAGTGTGGGAATATTACAGTTATGTAGAGGTCACTGAATGTGTATGTGCTGTCATCAACAATCACAGCAGAGTTTGTTTAAACTTTCCAATTTTTGTAAACGGCTTTTAAGTATGTGAAATTTCTATTGTTCAATTTTCTTAAATTTGTTGGCCAGTTATGGCTCAAAAACAATGTTGGCATTAATATAACATAGCATACAAGCTACTTGTGATTGCATATGCTAAAAAACATGGAAACAGGGCTGCAGAGAGGCATTTCAGACCACCCCCAACTGAGAAAATGATGATAACTTGGCAAAATTATAATGATCAGTAATAAAGTTTTATTGTTAAAAAATGTGTATAAAAAAAGGGGGTGCATCTTATACGCTGGCATATATGGTAAGTAATAACAAACCACACTGGAAAATTTTTGAATGAACCTGACGGTCAAACAGTGCTTAGATATAAAGAAAATATAAAAGAAGACGCCTTCTAAAGAAAATTTACCTGATGATTTTTATAATTTTGTATCCCAACAAGAATAGCTTCTCATTTTCTGCTTATGTCACCTGCTTGGTACATTGCCATATGCACAGGTACAGTTTTTGGTTCATTAAATTGTACACAAAGTAATATTGTAAAGTCTAAATAAGTGATCATCATCTAATCTCATCACGTACATCAGGAACGATCCATTTTACATCAGTTTCTATATAAATTGTTTTAGTTTTCAAGAACAAATAATTTATGTTAAGCATGGAAGATAAGAAATTATGTGAATGCTGAACTATTAATAACATAGTGCACTGTTAATAATACTGGAAGCATATTTTCACTTTTAATACTTTTTCTTAAAAATTTATTTTAATAAATAATGTAAAACCATGACCTAACTTGCTTCCAATTTGATTAAAATTTTGATTCAGAAACTTATCCCGAAATTTTTCTAATTGTTAAAAGATAAATTATAACTAAAATATTTTAAAATAATTATGACTTTATTTTATTTATGTACATAATAATTATATGAAATCGTCACATTAATTTTATTATAATTTAATATCTATGTAAATGATAAGTCATGTTGGAAAATTCACAATCAACATTAGTTCAAGCTGGTCAATAGATGTAAATAAAATATTCAGACAATTTAAATATAAGAACAATAAACGTACCTCTTAATATTTTTATTTTATTACATTCTACTATTATTAAAATAGTAAAATACTATTTTAATTTCCTGTTTTGTCGTCCAACCTTTTCTTTCCTTTTTTTAATATGTTTAGGCACTTTGTGTTGTTGTTTTTCTCGCCTGGCATCCTTAAGTACTTTTTTCCTTTCTTTTTTTGAATTTGGCGATTCATCACGTGGTCTGGAAAATGTTGAATGCTTTGATTTATCTTTCTTACTAACTGAGTTCTCTGAACAGGAAGAATCATCATCATCATCATCATCGTTTTCTTCATTATCATTTTCATCATCTCTTCCCCTACTATTGTCATGACTTTTTTCATTTGTTTCTCGCAGTCGTGAAACTGTAAGGCTCGGCTTTAGACCAGTGACTGAATGATACAATATTTCTCGATCTTCATTAAATACATCATTTTCAACATCAATCACTTGGCTTAAATTTTTAGGAATATAGGCTTGTTTAAAGACTTCTTCATCAACTTTTTCATCTTCACATAAATCTGAAGCCCTACTGGTGGCTTTTCTTTGAGCTTCGGCTAAATAATCATCGATATTTTCATCGTTAATGTTATAATCAGTGATAAAATCAAATAACTCACGTACGGTCATAACAGGAACATTTTGCTTTTTAAAAAAGTCTGTTATATTCAAACAATCTTTTCTCAAGAATTCTATTGCACGAGGATGTTCTAACTCAACTGATTGAGATACATCAATCATAATAATTTTCCCATTGAAGTATAACATATTGTATTCACTTAAATCAGCATGAATTAACTTGCATTTCTGAAATAAATTTCTCATCATTATTATACAGTCCAAGTATAATTCTCGTGCTTTACCTTCTGACAAATTAACTTCCTTCAGTAATGGTGCTGGCAATCCATCTTTACCAATAAATTCCATAACCAAGACGTGGCTCTTTAAAATAACTGGTGCAGGACAAGGCAATCCAGCAGAATAAATCCTCCACAGGTTTCTCATCTCCTTTTCAGCCCAGGTCTGCACCATTTTTCTGGAGTTTCGACGACAATATCCAGTTCGAAATCTATAATCTCCAGTAACATACCTATCTCTGTCTTTGAAAGTCAATATAGCAGTTTTATAGACCTTCACTGCTCTTTCACTGTTATCACTGGCAGAAGCATAATACACATTAGCTTCCTTGCCAGTGCTAATGCAGCCATGAATTTCTGAAATTATCCCTCGGCTCAGCATTTTAAATAAAATCATTCGAGTTCTTGGGTCAAGAACTTGCTCCACAGTGGCACGTTCATTTTTATCTCGTAATCTTATTTTCATCGATTCTTTTTTCCTAGCATCATCATTCAATAATTTGACAGCCATATCAGGTAATCTAGAATTTTCATATTTGTCAAGTGATATTTTAGTAACAAATTTTTGGTAAGCATGGTCATTGGGTTGAAAAGTGCTATCTTTTTCTTTGCGCAGATTTGATTTTTCAGAATGAACAGCATCATCTTCAGTAGGAAGTGCATAATCTTCACCATCAGAAAATTCTTCACTTTCATCATTATCTGATAAATCTAGTACAAGATTATCCATTTTGACACTGAGTGAATCCATTTTAGAGCCTTATCTGAAAAATATAAGATATTAATTTGTAGAATAAACAAATTTTCATCCCAAATAATATAAAAGCTGATCTATAATTTCAGGAGGGGTACGAAACATTGATCTTAACAAACTCTCAAACTAAGCATACAACATTTATCTCCAAGAAATATTAAATGCTAAGAGCCTCCTGTTGACAGAAAATGATGAAACACACACACACACACACAAAAAAAAAAAACTGAAAGGTTTCAGATTTGAAATTACGTATAAGGGGCATTTTTAATGTTTTGAGTGTTACCTTTATTTAATAAATATCATGTTCTTTGCCCTTAAACCATAAAATTCAGTTCAATAGCAATATTCGTAAAATAATTTTAAAATGAGCATATTTTTAGAATTTCTGATACATGGAGATAAAAAGGTCTCCCCCCTCCCCCTGTAGAGTGTTGCCATTGCTCGCTTTTAAATTGTTGAGTTTGTCACTCAAAAATTCATTAAAGTTTTATAAAATATGAAATCGATAATAAAACAAATTCCAAATTTGGTCTTCCACATGCCCATATTTGTAGGAAAATTACCTCATTCAAAATTTGATGGCTCTATGTACTGTTGTTTTATCACAATGCGAGAAATATACATACATTTATGCAGAAGTTTCATTATTTAATTTCTTCAAATATAATGCAAGACTAACATTTGGCGGCAAAAGTTTGAAAAGTGAAACAGACATTTATAGTGATTCAACGCAAAATCGCAAAACAAAAACAATAGTCCTTCAGGAACAAAGCTCTTTTGGACCAAAAAAAAAAAAAATTCACAATTTATTTTATTAAAGGTTCTAAACTACTAAGGAAATAAAAGATTAAAAATTATATTTAAAGTACTTATATTTCAAAACCATTTATTTTGTATTCAAGCATATTAGCTTGCAATTAAAATTACAAAAAGTTTCATTGCGATAGAAACAGTACATTGGATGCACAGTAAAAGCTCAACTACCTGTAAAGTTCGCAGAAAGCCGATTTCCAGATAAGCAAAAACTGTGAATAGTTGAGCATATAAAAAATGGAATTCCTGTTAGAAAAGAAAAATCAATGGGAAAAATTTCCACTCTAAAAATTATAAAAATAATCTTACCATGGCCACTACAGAAGATAAGTACCACTATTTTAATTTGAATATAAACATAAGCAAATGCAAGTGGAAGGGCACACACATTTAGTGCTAACTTTTTCACAAGCAAAAAAAGCAATTAATTAAAAATTTTGGTTTTATTAATTAGTGTTTTACCTCTTTGAGCAATTAAATGTTATCAAACATGTTATGTTTTAACTTTAGAGAAGGGTTTTCTGAAACATGATTTTTAAGGCTAGAATGGAGATTACGTGCCATTGTCGCCAAGACCAGCAATACTGCACTTTAATTAAGATTGCACTAAACTACAAAAACCCGCTAGGGTTTAGAGTTACTGTTTATACTATTTAACCAGGCCTTTTGAATATTCATTATTTCACCAAAGAGGAGATGCAATAGATTTGTGTGAATGGCAATGTCGTGTGTCTGGTCCTTCCACGCATGAGGTTAAAAGGAGTGTAAGAAAGGGTTCTTCGTTTTCCAAGGGACGAAATACCTGCAACTAACACATTTGTGGGGTCAGAAATGCATGAATCAGTTTATTATGGATGAGTTATATAAGTGACCACACTATGGTAGATTAGACAATGTTTTGTAGACAGGTGTGGGTAGAGACAGGCTTGAGAGAGAATGACATACTTGGAGGGCACAGAAGTGCGACTGAAACTGATAAAAGTAAGTTTGGAAAAAGAAAATAGCACAGTGGAAAGCATGTGATGAAAAATGGGTATCTGGAGGTACTGAAAGGGATTGAGCAAATATTTTTTCAATATGGCTGAGAAGTTATCAAAAGAAAAGAAAACATTTTGCCAGAATGTATTAATTATTATTTTGGACTGTTAGCAACTTTATGATTGTCTTAGCAATGTGGGATTCACATGCTTCAGCATAAATCAGAGTCTTGTTTTTAACCCTTTCGCGATGCCGCACCTTTGTTTATGATGTCCGTGCAGGACGGAAGGGAATCAAAGGCAGTCACCATACAGGATGGAGGTTTTGCATTGCTAAACCTAATTTTATATATATATAAAAAAAAAAATAATAATTCACTTATAGCATCATAATTTTTGGTATCATTTCAGATTATTACTTGAGCCCTTATATATGTTAAAATTAACACTTAATAATGTTTTTTCCTTTTATTTTACATGAAAATATACTTAAAAAATTGCTCATCTTGTAAAATAATTTTTGGAAGCGCTATTCAAATTATTCCAAAGTTTTAATTGATAAAATCCATCAATAAAGTTTAAAATTAATAAAACAACACAATAAAGACTATTTACAGTAAGAAGTAACAAAATTTAAAATAAAGACTGTGGTAAATCTCGAAGCATGGAGAAGTATCACTTTCTAAATCATCACTCTCATCTGTGTTAGTAAATGGTTCATTAACTATAGGAGGGCATTCTTCCTCTGATAAATAGCGCCTTTCTGCCATAATAGACTGCAGGTGAGGCTTTCCGAAATAAAAAGAAAAGAAACGGAAATATATCTGAAGGCAATGCAAAACGTAACAGAACTTCACATAGTAACCCTAAAAGATTGTACATAGTAGAGGGAAAAAATAGAAGAAAAAAAGGAATTGGATATAAATCAGACACAACAATGTTTATATTAGCATGCCGGGATTTAAAGAGCTCACCTCTGTTTATGCTTTCCCTCCCCCCCCCACCTTCACGACAGTTGATGAGCAAAATACCAAAGTAAGGCAGAATATATCAAACTCAAGGTCAGAAGCCTAAAACTGTGTTCATTTCAAAAGTAATGGACATAGGATGCCATCTAGTGCCTTCAGAAAAACGTTCCAGCTTAAAATGCTGCAATCTCTAGTGATGTGTGTATGGGAACGCCCGTCTTGAAAGGGTTAAAGATCCTATGATAGATGCTCACACAGACTCTATTGAAAATACATGGAATGCTATAAAAAGTTTAAAGAGTAGTCAAGAGGCAAAAGATGAATTCAGTTCATACCTGGCCGAGTATACGTGGCAGAGAAAGCATGCAAATTTATCGCTGAATGTTTGTTTCCAAGAACTCCTGAAAACGATAATATCTGTTTTCATTACTTTTTAATAGATTTGTAAAAACTTTCTGAATTGATTAATATAGATTTTGATTTAAACACAAATCACATCAAAATAATGCTCGTTTTAGATTGACATTATATGTGGTCAGGTCCGCACCGACAATAGGTGCAAGGTTATGCGGTGCACAACGACGCCGAGTCAAAAAAGCGCCGGACAATCATTAAAGCAAGCAGTTCATCTTGGTGCCTGTCTGAACAGGAAAATTCTTGTCTTATTTGAATGCTCATCCGGAGGTCGACTCAGGTAAAACCTGGGTAACTACTGATTATGATCTGTACCTAGGTTGTCTCGGCCACGGATGCTTGAAATCAAGTCTCCCCAGGACTGGAGTCACTGCTGACAATGGCTGTTTTAGGCTCGGCAGGGACCGTACGGTACTGTCTTGTCCATTCCGTTGGTTGTGGTGGAACTATATAGTCAGATTTTCATAGTTGCCTGGGGTAAAACACACCCGTTGATGGAGTTGGCAAATTCAACGAGCCTTTAAACTGCTTGAGGTTTCTAGTGCACCTGGAGCCTCAACTACATATTCATATCCTTTCTTGGTTTCCCTCTGGGGACGTATAAAGCCAACATCTGTATGCCATAATGTAGTGTTAGCATGCCGGATTGGTGCCCCGGTCTGTCTGAAAGTGTTTAAGTTCTGCTGTCCAGGATCCCTGTTGATGGCAGATGTTTTTACCATCCCTCCTGAACAAGAATGTGGAATATGAGTTGCTGGGTATTCCTGTCGACTCAGAGTAGTCTTAGCTCATCGGCTAGACCGATACATTAGCGGCCTCTTGGATCGTCTCTAGGGGTTAGGGCGTTTAACAGGGTTCGTACACATTTCTTCACAAGAAAATTAAGTACTTTTAAGGACCATTAATGAAAAAAATTAAGGACCTATGAGCAAATGGGAACTGAATAAATTCAATTAAAAACATTATATCTATGCCTGATTGTGAGTAGGATGCATTATTATTAAACATAACTTAATTAACATAATTATTAATATTTTGAGAATAAAATTAATTTTATGAAATTTATCAAGTAGCATTAAATATTTTACACTCATAATAACTGGACATATCTGAAAGAAGATAAGTGACATTTTAGTTACGTTTTACTAACAGCTTTTTTTTTTTTAATGTCCCATTTTGTCACATACTTGCTCAGTCTAGAGGTTGAGAAAATAGTAAGTAGATTTTATGTCAAGCAGCATAGGTTAAAATGAGCATTAAAATCATAATCAGTATGATTCACAACAAAAGACTGGCTGTTGTCACCGCTCCTGCTCACCAATAGAGAGACCTGCTGATCAGAACAAACATGAAAGGCCTGATGGAGGCACAGTTAGCAAGTTTTGAAAGTTAGCTGACCTTTGTCTGACGCTGTTAGTGTTGTAGCTTCGTGTAGAGTTCCAGAGGTTGTAACTCAGTTAATATACTTTAAGGTTTTATTAAGCCACTAAAGCATTAGTGGTGATAAGTTGTTTTGCATTAAGTCTCACTAGATGCAAAGAATAAGTTTCACATGAATTTGTATATTTTTGTGTTTTACCTTGTCACCACAGTAAAGGTTTAACATGTTGAGCCCGGCGCCGAATTTGCTGTCTTTTCTATTCAGCCGACGGCAATATTGGGATCAAGCGGTACAATATTGTCGACTAAAATTATTCATAAATTATTCAAAAAGGAAGGAGATGCACATAAAGTTCAAAAGTACTGTTTGAAATGTTATGATGACAATTCAAAACTATTTGGATACAAGATAGCTAAAAATGTTACCAAAATAGTTGTTTTGTATTGTAATATGTGTAAAGCCGTATTTTTGTTTAGAATGTTTTAATAAATTTCATTAAAACTACATTTGATTACATTTCATGGAGACTATACTTATTTTTTAACTTTAATACTGTCGGTCTCGTGGACCGACGAAAGCCAGATGAAAATTCCAGTCCCGGTTCCCAGGGACCGACACCAGGATCAGCGTGTTAACGAAAGGCAATAACTTTCTTTAATATAGAGATATAATTTTTAAGAGAATGCATTTAGTTATAATTAAATTAGGTATTAGATGACATTAGTCATTATGGATTTACATGGCCACTATTAAATTAAATTTATTTTTTAATAATATTTGTTAAAAAACTCTATTAATATCACAATCTCATAAAATTTCACAGTATAAAATACATGCAATTTATGACATTGATTTTTAAACAATATTAGGATAATTACACATTAAAAGCTACAAACCATAAAACTCAGCAAAATAATTATGCCTCTTTTTAATTTGAAGGCTTGCCCACACATTTTGGCTAATTTATATTGATTTCCTTCTCCTTAAGCATGTTTTCTAACAATTAAAAAATTGTTTCAATATGCGAAACAATTTTCTCATTAGTTTCTGCGTGTTTTATCTCCACAATGTACTATCTATGAGAGTTCACTTGATCTGGTAAAAGTTAAATAGTCCGACCCCCTTCCCCCCGACAGACGTGATCAAATTATCACTATGTTTGAAAGTAACTATAAATCAAATAATAAACTTAAATAAGCTTCTTATTCAAAAAGAAATTGGAACATATAGGTCTGTTCTTATGCTAACAAAATCAATTACAGTTTATGGTGGTATAATTAAACAAGAGTCAAATTCAAACTAAAAATATGGACTAGTGGTCAAAGACTTATACAATTTAATTTCAGTTTAATCTGGTTCAGTAACTCTATTGTCAAAATAAACTCAAATGTCAGCAGCAGTAATGGAAAGACTAATAATTACAAATTATCAGAGCTGACAGAACTAATGCAGGGAGCAAGTGGAGGTCAGAAACACTCTCCTCTTATTCTCCAAAAGCCTCAGTTTAAAAACTGTCTTGCGAACAGTGATTTGCATTCTGATGAGGAAATAGAAATGGGAAATTATAGAAAAGGCTGAAACAGTAAATAATTGGGTAATTTACACAACAATAATTGTACACATCTTTCAAGAATAATTTTCTTTCTCTTTACATATTTAGTTTCCAATGTAAGGGTAGACGCATTCGACAAATTGCTTAGCCCTCATTTTATATCTACTGTTGCAATCGTAGTAAATTGTTGCAACATTTATCTTTTTTGTGATTGCTTGTTATTATTGTTTCTCTACATAGAAAAGGTAAGTGCAGTTACATATTATGTTAAACTTAGGTTAACTTTTTAATTCGGAAAAGCGACAATTTGAGTATAATTACTCGAAAATTGTTTACCTCTCATGTTTGAACAATAGTCGTATTCTTCGCCGTGTAAATTACTAATATCTAAACCATTTTCCCTAAAGTCTTTATGAATGTTGTTCGTCATCCACCGGGTGTATCCGTTGTACCACTAAATACTACTAAATACTAAAAATACCAAACACCTTTCTTCAATACTCATGTCTGTATTTTCTCTATTAAGATACCTCATGCAAATTGATACAGTCAAAAGTCATTAATTCGGATACCCATAATCCAAAATGATCTATAATCCGGACCTCAAAGCTACAAACTTTCTGCGCATGCGTCGCATTGACGTAAGACCTTTACGACTGCGAATATGCGTGTGCACGAGCGCAAAATATGTTTACGAATGCACGTTTAATGTATAACGGATAGTATAAGCTAAGCTAAAATTATCTAATTCAGTTAATGTTGCAGATTGCATTGTTCCTTAATCTTCGAATTGGATTCGGCTTATTATTTTTTGCAGACTGTTAGAGCAATTTTATAAAAGTAAGCTTGAACTTTCGATTATGTCAAATAGAATTTCTGATATATATTTACTAATACGTAAAGGATCTACAAAGCGAAAGTATGTTTCGAAGTCCATTAAACAAAAAGTGGAATTGCTGCAATGCTGCAAAAAATGGATAAAGACATATCCTTTGTTTATCTAAACTTTGTTAATCTTTAACGGCGCGGCGCGCAATGAAATAGAAGTTGATCTGTCAGCACTATCCTTATCTTCAGGGCAGATGTTTTTATTTTATTTGGCTTATAATTCCTTACTAAATGTAGTATTTCATCTCGATGTACTCCGCCTTTGATATGGTTTAAATCAAATTCCTTGTCATTATAATTCGCTTCCGATAGCGAAGAAAGTGACAGAGGTTATTGAAAACGATAAAATTTCGATTGACAAATTAGTCGGTATTCTCGACACAGCAATTATAGGACTTGAACAGTGGAACTTTGTAAACTGAACAAGAAATTATGTCTGTTTATAGAATTAAAGAGAATGTATTATCACAAAAAAAAAAAAAAAAAAAAAAAAAAAAAACGAAGCAACTTAAACAACTTACATTGAAAAGAAATGTTTAATAAAGTAAACAAATAAATATTAAGCTTTTTTTCTTTGTGTAAATTTTGATACCCTTTAGATCATAATTGTTCTTTATTTCATAAATTACGGTTTCATATCTTTAATTTTATAATTTCTGCATGCTACCTTACCAGATTTAAACTGATGATCTATAATCCGGAATCGCCGAAGTCCTGACGAGTCCGGATTAACAACTTTTGACTGTAACAGCAAATACTGTATTAAACCCCATATTCGTGTAATACAGTACATAATTATGACTAAATTTAATCAATAAGTTAAAATGAGATATTGCCAATAGTAAATACTGTAATAATAAAGTATTTTGCCTATAAAATTACATTATACACTGCATTCCATAGTGTAATATATAATGAACTGCAAAACAGACTATGCATTGTTATGTAAAATGCATTGTGTATTGTATTATACTGTCTTGCACCAATAAAACTAATCTAGCTGGAGCATAAGGCAGTGATTCTCAACTGGTGATAGGCAAGGAAAGTAAGTATTTTTAACTATTAAATTCAAAAATCAAATACTCCAACATCCTTGTTTAAGTTTTTTTTCTAACACTTGTAAATTTATGCGATTTGAGCTTTGTTCAAGGCCAGCTACTTACAGACTTTAGTAAAATAATCTGTTTTTGTTTTCACAAATATTCTTTTAGCCATAAATACAACAAAATTTGTCATAAATGACATTTTTAAAAGGAGTAATAGAAATGGCTATTGCATTTAATAGGAAATAAAAATAAGTTCCCATAAAAAGATTCTTAATGTATTGTACATTTAAATATTTGTGAAAAATAATAAAACAAACCTACAATTTCAAAATGGCTAGGATTGACTAAGCGGAAAACAGATGATTCACTGGTGATGGATCCAGGACTATCTACTAGCACTAAGAATACTGAAAAGAAAAGAAACATTTTTTATAGAAAATATAATGAAAGTTATTTATCATTTAAGTTTACTTGGAATGGAGATGAAATGGACCTTTAACTTCGATGTGTTGTTTGCGGTGAACTATTATCCAAACAAAGTTTGAAGCCATCGTTTCTTAAAAGACATCTTGAATTTAAGCATGCCAATTTAAAGGATAAATCTGAAGAATATTTTAAAAGGAAATTATTGTTCAAAAAATAGTACACAAGTAATGAAAGGTTTTGTTACATCAAATGAAAAAGCTTTGAAAGCCAGTTACCCAGTTAAGACTAAGAATTATCAAGATGGGCAGGCTCACACTATTGAAAAAATCCTTATATTACCAGCAGCTAAAGAAATTGTATTAACATTATTAAATGAAAAAGCAGCTAATGAACCTAACAATATTCCGTTATCAAATGATATAGTAAATTAACGAATTCATGAAAAGGCAAATTCCATAAAAGAGAGATATTATTCAAAAAATAAAATACAGCGAGTATTTCGCATTGGAATTAGATGAAAGCACTGATATAATGAACTTTGTTTAATTACTAGTTTACATACGTTCAAAGAAGATAAACGAACTACCAAACAGTATTTATTTTGTGAATCTCTTCATCAAAGAGCAACTGCAAAAGAAAATTTAAGAGTATTTAACAATTTTATATCTGAGAACGATATTCCTTGGAGTAAGTGCTTTGCCATATGCAGTGATGGAGCTCGGGCTTTCACAGGAAAACATTCTGGTGTTATTTCTCAAATACAGAAAATAGCACCTGAAATTAAATGGCCTATAACTATATAGGCGAACAATTTGTTTTTTTAGCCATTGAATACGTTGTAGCCATTTCATTCACGACATCAACGGCACTTTTAGTAAGGTTACAAAACGTTATTATTTCTGGTTTCATGGCTTCTCCACTCTCAAGATCAACTGCATCATCATTGTGCATTGTAGACAGGAGAAGCACATTTCTATTTTTTGGGGATGTATCAGATACAGTAATTGTTTCTTTCTGAAACCCGAAAAGGGAGGAGTAAACTTCTCTTTTAGTTGTGTTAAAAAATATTGGAATTTCTTTTTTATTTTTCCTCAAAGTTCCAACAACTAGTATCTTTTTTCCTTTTTCAAGTTCTTGAGAAACTGGATAAGATGAATGCCAGTTGTCCAGTGTTAAATTCCTTCCCGAGTTGTAAAGAGGTTCCATTAGTCTTTTTACCACACTACTAGGAGAATTATCTACTTGAAATGGACTTTTTGGTTGCTCGCCCGCATAAATTTCTAATTTCCAAGTGTAGAAAACTCTGGAATTGACCAGAGCAAGCATTTTGAGTCTGTATTTGCATGTTTTTTCTTGGCCTGCATTGCCGAAATTTGGCATCGACCTCTGAAAGGTTCTAGTTTTATGTCTATTATGACATATTCTCCCACGTTGTACAATTTTTGGCAATTTTCTACAAACACTTTTAAAAGATCATGTATTGGAGCTAGTTCATCGAATTCTTTCCTGCTATGGCAGATTTGTGCATAATCAAAGCGAAGCCATCTCAATAAAAAATTAAAACGTGTTGATGACATAGTTGTATGGAATATTTCAATTCCAATGCCGTCTGTTGCCCAAAGATCTCATATATACAGTGGCTCCCAAAAGTGTTCGTACACTTATGATTTTCATTGAAATAGGGCTGTATCCGTTAATTAAAAGTAAACTTTTTGAATTAGATTTTAATAATAAGATCTATAACATATTCATAACAAAATTACATGATTTTTAAAATATAGCGAAAATTTATTTTTAAGAAATTAATAATAAAAAAATGACAAACATTTTATCTCACAAAAGTCTTATACACTAAAATACTTTTAGATAAAATCAAAATTAGGAATTACGTTGCCGCTTTTTTTAATTTTTGCATTGTGGTGACACTTAAAAAAATCGCTTACTTTAATTATTTTACTGTTTACTCATAATATTCTATTTATTATTGAAAAATGGGTTGCAGTCGTAAAGAAATTACAAACAGCATTCGAATATTGATAATTTGTCACCACAGTAGAGTTAAATCAATTCGAAATATCGCTAAATTAGTTAACGTATCACATTCTACAGTGCAGTATGTGATAAAACGCTTTAAAAAAAAAAAATCGGATTGAAAACAAGGTAAAAAAGGTCGACCGAGAAAGTTAACTAAACGTGATGAGAGAGTTATTATTAGAAAATTTGTGAAAAACTATTTGAAACTGTAAAGTTTTTGCAGAATTTAAAGCAAAGTTTTCTACTTCAGTTTCACCTGAAACTGTTCGACAAGTTCTCAGAGGAAGCTGGATTACAAGTGAGAAAAACAGAAAGCTTAGGCTTTCATTCGCCGAACAATGATAAATACACCCGAAATGTACTGGAAAACTTCATGAGACGAACACCGACTCCTGTGGATACTGCCAGCTACAATCAGCTTGACAATGCTGGTAAAGTACTTTTTCATAAGATCAACGAGATAGCGAACGTGTTAGAAGTTCCTATCTTTCACTTGCCTCCGACCAGAGATGAATTTCTAAAAATCATCGAGACTGAGCGGTTAGCCAAAATGGCCGCTACAGCCGTTGAAAATCCTCTCCCTCTCCAAACGGAGGCGAAAACGACCCACGAGATCCGAGGAAAACCTGTTTCTGCCCGTAAGCGCAAGACGCAAACAGTGGACTCTGAGGGGTTTATTACTCCCGCCACTAGAAAAATGGGAAAACCTCCCATAATTGATTTAACTGTGGATAATAACAGTAACCAAACTACTATTCAAAATTCAAATACTTCTATTTCAAATTCTTCACTTAGCTAGTACTAATATTGCTAGAAAAAACAGTAAAAACAAGTATGAAGCTATTAAAGAATGGCTCATCAACGGCGGTGACCCCGTCAAGGAGCAAACCCCGAGGGAGGGAGAAACCAGTTCCGAGCAGGCACGGAGCGTTCCCCCCCTCCACCACAGCCTCAAAATCAAATCCCGGCTATTCATATGAGGAGTAGCAAGAACTGGAAGACCCAGGTGTCTTTCTTAAGAGAAATTGCCCCAAACCTTAAGAGTACTCTCACTGGACCATATTTAAAAATTTTTGTACAGACTGAACTGGAGTTCAGGGAGGTCACACGTTGGATGAAGCAAGCCGGCATCCAATTCAAAACTTTTGATCTTAAACAGGACCGGCCAGTCAAAATTGTAGTCAGAGGCCTCCCTGTGGAAACTGATGTCGAGGACGTCAAAGAGGAAATCGAGTCACTGGGATTTAAAGTGCATCGCTGCGTTCGGCTTTACCAGCCAGGCTCCAGACATCCTATGCCACTTGTTTATGTACAAGTCATCCCACACCCTTTCCTCGACCAACTGTTTGCCGTCACTGACATGTGGGGCACAGAGGTCAGCATTGAGCGTTATCGCGGCCGAAAGGGCCCTACTCAATGCTTTAGGTGCCAGGGATTTTTCCATTCTTCGGAACTCTGCACTTTGCCAATCCGTTGTGTGAGATGCTCTGGACCCCACTGGGCACGTGAGTGCACCAAGGGGCTTGATGTACCTGCAACTTGCTGCAACTGTGGTGGAAGTCATCCAGCCTCATATAAATCTTGTCCTCGACACCCAGCTAATAAGCGGTCTCGTGGAAAGAAAACCACGCTTAAAAATAGGGCAGCTGCTCAGACAGCCCCCCTCAAGGTTCTTCTAAGCCTCAAGCACAAGCTACTAAAGCACGTCTCATGCCTGCTCCCCCTAACGACGTCAACTCACCGTCATATGCAACGGCGGTGAAGAACGCCACCGAGAACGGATTCAGAGCTCAGACTCCAAGACTGCCGGCCGCAGAAAAACCTGTAGCCCCAGCAGTATTAACCTCAGCAGAGTGTGCAAATAAAATGCTTGATTGAAATCTCCCGTGACCCTACGGTAGACAAGCATATTCTGCTCCAAACCTTCAAAAGAGCTATGCCAAAGCTTAGGCAGGCAGACGCTCTGATGAGGGCCTTTTACTTATATGAAAGCGATATCGAGCTTTCAAATTAATTTTGACCTTCATTAGACCCATGTCTTCTGTTTTTCAGCCAGGAATCTTTTTAAACGGCCTAACATTCAATTGTGTCAGAAAAAGTTCATTTACCAACTCTGAACTAACCATTGGCTCCTGGAATGCCAATGGACTTCAAAACAAGATCCATGAAGTAAGAGACTTTGTGGTAGAACACGATCTTGACGTGTTTTTAGTCCAAGAGACTCATCTAAACTCAGGGAATACTCCCAAAATTGGGAATTATGACATTTACTCGACGGACAGGGTGTCACAAGGCAGAAATCCGAGTGGTGGCACTTGTATTTATGTGAAACATTCGATCAAACATCACATAATACCGTCCCCTGATTTAAATATTTTGGAAGCGACTATTATCCAAATTTTCCTTCAAAATTCTCCCCCACTCACAATTGTTTCAGCTTACTTACCTCCACAATCAACTGCACGTGGAAGGCCTTCTTTCCCTGTCAGTGATTTTGACAAACTTTTGAATATTTCAAATCACCTGATCATTGCTGGCGATCTAAATTCACGTCATACCGCATGGTTTTGTCCTAACAGGAACAGGTATGGCATTAGTCTAAATTCATGGTGCCAGAGTAACCATGTACAGATCATAGCTCCTACCCTCCCGACTTACTACCCTGTAAGAGGGTCCCCTGCAGTACTCGATCTGGCTGCTTTCTATAATATTTTCTTTAGGCATGAAATTGAAGTGATACAAGATTTAGACTCTGATCACTATCCTATTTTGATAACCTTAGATGTTCAAAATCGTTACTCAAAATTACAGGAGCGAGTCTCAACAAATTGGGACGATTTTCGATTTATTTTGGAAAACACAGCACTCCCTCCCATACAAATTTCCAGCAATGCGGACTTTGACAGGCAGATTAAAAATCT